AATGCTCCCAGTTCACTCGCACTATAGGTTTGGGTTTACCAGGTGTGTCCGATAGTCAGCCCAGCCATCTGATCCAGCTCACCACCAGGTGGTGATCAGTTCACAGCTCAGCGACTTTCTTTACCCGAATATTAGTATAACAATCAGAGCCTTCTTCTCAAGACTCCACTCAGGAAAAGCAACAGACCCTGATGGCCTGAGCATAGATATGGTCAAGGCATATGGTATGAAGCTGTGTGGAGTCCTGGAGCAGATCTTCTACCAGGGTGATACTCTCCCACCTCAGGTCCTGGATAACGGATTACCTGACCAGCCGCAGTTTGGGATGAGGAGAAATACAGAAGTCTGGTGGGTGACTTTGCAGTTGAACATTAGCAAGACGAGGGAGCTGATTGTGGACCTCTTCCGAACCGCTGTGTCCATCCAGGGTTAGAATGTTTAGGCGGTTCACTCCCATGAATAGATCTAGACGAGTGGGTTTGAAACATAGGGGCCCTCTACAAGAAGAACCAGAGCTGGCTCTACTCCCTGCGGAGGCTTAGAGGCTTCAACATCTGCAAAGAACGGCTGGCTAAGTGATTGGAAGAGGACATGAGCTGGACTCTGGAGGTGATGATGGAGAAGAGGAGAGTGTCAAAGTCGGTTAGCATCCTGAACACATCTCACACACGGGTGTCAGATTGACAGCGGTATGCACAGAGGGGCTAGAGTTCGTGACTGGGTTTTTGAATTACTTCAGGTATGGGAAAGACTTTCTTTCACCCCAAGTCATTTCCGTAAATGAGGGCAACTCCCTGTACTTGTTGAACAAAGTTTGTCACTTTACTTGCTGTGCACCATTCAACGAATAGAACAGTTTTCTTTGTTGCAAACTCTACATGTGGCAGACTTATCTGGTAGTATGCCTCAGGTACCAATTGATAAACCTGCACAACTGTGGCTTTAACAACCTCATAATTCAAAATTTCAATAAGGGATAGACTTGCTCACACCTACGGTGCTTCTTCCAACAGTTTACTTTGCAATTGAAAACTCTACACATCTTTTGACCGACAGGAAGCAGCTGGTGAGGCTGGGGGAATACATCCAGCACACTAACAATCTGCACTGGTGCCTCCCAGGGCTGTGTGCTCTTCAGCAGACCCATCTGGTAAACTCCTCAGGCCTTAAAGCAAGGACAATTCCTGTGTTTTAACCAGATGTGGGATTTGACTTGAAAAAGTTGTGACAGCACAGAATATCAATATCAACTTAATTTATATAGCACACTTAAAATAACCAAGGTTGACCAATGTGCTTTACACTGTAAAAGTACAATAAAACATTACACAATATACCATAGAATTATATAATTATAAACGCAGAACTTTTTTTGCCCCCATTCATCATGAGCTGAACTCAAAGATCTAATACTTTCTCTATGTACACAAAAGGCCTATTTCTCTCAAATATTGTTCACAAATCTGTGTCAGTGAGCACTTCTCCTTTGCCGAGATAATCCATCCACCTCACAGGTGTGACATATCAAGATGCTGATCAGACAGCATGGGGATTGCACAGGTGTGCCTTAGGTCGGCCACAATAAAAGGCCACTCCAAAATGTGCAGTTCCATCACACAGCACAATGCCACAGATGTCGCAAGTTTTGAGGGAGCGTGCAGTTGGCATGCTGACGGCAGGAATGTCCACCAGAGCTGTTGCCCGTGAATTGAATGTTCCTTTCTCTACCATAAGTCGTCTCCAAAGGTGTTTCAGAGAATTTGGCGGTAAATCCAAACGGCCTCACAACTGCAGAACATGCGTAACCACACTGGCCCAGGACCTCCGCATCCAGCATCTTCACCTCCAAAATCGTCTGAGACCAGCCACCCGGACAGCTGCTGCAACAATCGGTTTGCATAACCAAAGAATTTCTGAACAAACTATCAGGAACCGTCTCAGGGAAGCTCATCCGCATGCTCATCGTCCTCATTGGGGTCTCGACCTGACTGCAACTTTGCACAGCCATTGAAGAGGAGTGGACCAACACTTCACAGGCCACAATCAACAACCTGATCAACTCTATGTGATGGAGATGTGTTGCGCTGCATGAGGCAAATGGTGGTTACACCAGATACTGACTGGTTTCAGGACCCTCCCCAATACAGTGAAACTGCACATTTTGGAGTGGCCTTTTACTGTGGCCAGCCTAAGGCACACCTGTGCCATACCCATGCTGTCTGATCAGCATCTTGATATGCCACACCTGTGAGGTGGATGGATTATCTCGGCAAAGGAGAAGTGCTCACTAACACAGATTTTGACAGATTGGTGAACAATATTTGAGAGAAATAAGCCTTTTGTGTACATAGACAAAGTCTTAGATCTTTGAGTTCAGCTCATGATGAATGGGGACAAAAACAAAAGGGTTGCATTTATAATTTTGTTCAGTATAATATAGGATATATCATCACAAAATGCCCCCCATAAAAAATCTTGCACCCATAACTTTGCACTACGTTATTCAATGCCTTGTACAGTCATTTATCACTTGCAATATCAGTGGGAGACATGAAACTTGTCTTTCAACATTAGGCTTCGGGACAAGCAGATTTGGGAGAATCTGGAGCCGGATTAGGGCACACAGTCAGACACTGTTTCACAAAATGTCCACATGAAAAAGCTTGCCCACTCTTTACAATCAGCACGGATATCTGATATCTTTCGTTGTCTTGCGCTGATGAAGGCAGCAACATAGCACGTTGCTGAAAGTTAAGTTTAGCTAGCAGGTCCGTTACCGTTTGGTCCCGGACGATGTTCTGAAAAAAAAAAAAAAAAAAAAACACGGGAATGTTTTATTTCATAGTGACGACGGATATTCTTTCAAACCGCCATGTGTGTATGTGTCTGCAAATGAAAGAAACGATTTCTGTAAAAAAAAAAAAAAGTAATCGTCTTGCCTCTTATCAGTGTGCCACTGCCTCGATTGCTCGATCGTGTTGGTGTCATGAGCAGGAGAAAGAAAGAATACCATATTTCTTTGTAGAGAAATGTAACAGCAGTCCTTTACATTCTGTAAAACTCACATTATGTACTTTTTGGCTGCACAAATCTTTTGTTTTGAAGTCATTACAGCTGAGTTTACAGCATTTTCAAATTAAGAGGAGAATAAGCACCAGATTGGCGAGCAAAAACCAAAGGGATTGTGCCCCAAAACTTGGGCAGCAAAGGTCTGTTTCCTGATTGTAAATGTGATCCTTGAGCCGATCTAAGCCACTTTGTTTCAACGGGACTCTGAGGGCTCCTGAGGAGGTTGAAGGTCAGAAGTGCATCATGAAGACAATAAGCTTCAGCTTCACTGTAGTTTCTCATGTTAACATATGAAACCCTGTTTTTTCCCCAAAAAGGAGGTTCGGCCTGAGCGCATCTAGTCACATGTTTGAAGTTCTGCTGCTTCGATTGTGATCTTTTTTTTTTACCTTCCACTGAGTCTTACAGGGTTAGATTGCTGCAGTGCTCTTTAACAGAGAGGCATTCTTCACTTGTAAAGTGGACAGTCTAATGCAGGGTGTGAGGCGAGCCTCCTTAGAGGGGGTCCAAACACTTTCAGGGGAGGCTCAGTGAATGGAAGTGAAACAATATCACATTACTTAATGCATTAGTTATCAAAAGGAAATCACATAGAATACCCTGCATGTGAGAGTTCAAACAATGTAGTTCTTGGGAACTGTTTTTCCCTCTATCAGTCAGAAACTAATAAGGACAGACCTTTAAAACTATTTGGTGCAGTCAGAAGTTATGTCAAACAGCAATATCAGGCTATTTTGGTGTCTATGGGATCAAGTAACATAATCATGATCCCACAGGAATCCAGAAGTGAAACTTACCAAGTAAACTAAAGATGTGGAGGGGGGCCGTTTCACAAGCTTTGTCTGAGGGGAGGCCCAGTCTCCGACTTTGAAAACCCCTGGTGTAATGGATTATCTTTGTTCCCAAATAAAAAGACTTCTTTTTGGGGACAAAGTGGAAATGAAGCTCAGAGATGGATTTGTTCAATTCAAACACACACATTCTGTGTGAAAGTGTGGAGGTTGCATCATAAAAGTTTGAAGGTCATAACTGACATGATCTCTAAAAAACAACAAGCTCTAATGAACGGTTTGTCTCTAATGCAACGGTTGCATCATGTGTTTCTGCTGCAGCTCGTTAGCTCTTCACACCTCTGATTGCTGCCACGTCTTCACTAATGAAGCAGGTGTGAAAGGTTTCAGTCATCAGGAGACGCTAATGAGCTGTTTGCATGACAGACTGCTAAATAACAGAGTGTGTTTGTGGGCACAACACATATACAAGACTCAGGAATAACCTGCAGTGAATAGTAGTAGTGGAAGGTCATTTTGAGGTTATAATAATTTAACTGTGTTTACAAATATCGAAGCAGAATAAAAATAAATACGATAAAAACCAATCCAGTAACAAAAAGGTTAAAACCCCAGACTCCCAAAGCACGTCGACAGCCCAAAAACACGTCGGCTGTATGTTTCCGTTAAACATTAAACTTGAAATGGAGCAAAGCGGACAAATTCAAAGTTGGCAAGAAAGATATTCTGATGTCGGCCCCTAGCGGATACACGTTTAACCCTCCAGGTACACGCAAAGTACACAGCCAAGTATGTGAACCATGGCGTTCGAGCCGCCGCCGCCACACGTCTACGCATTGTTAAAAAGCAGGTATATCGGGGGATTAATGACCCGGGACTTCACTGTCCCTCAGATTCAATCAAATAACTGGTTCTCTTTAAACTAGTTTTAACTTGTGTTTTCTCAAGTTTTTCTCTAAAAAGTCTCTCTGGAGACCCGAAGTCAGAAACAGGGACAGGATTATTACCTGTAAATGAAAATGTAACCCCACCCCACACGCAAGCATGACGCACAGGATCACACCAGGTGCTGTCAGCGCCTCCTACAGGCTGCAGAGAGGAGAACAGGAGGACGAGTCAGAAGTAAAGACAATAATCAAATTTAAAATCCTATCTTTGGTTTTTATTGTTACACAAACGCACAGCTGACCTCTGACGTCGGCTCAGACTGAAGCATCGTGGGAAACGCAGCGTGTACTGGCTCAGAGGTCTGACAGGAATGAAAGTATAAAATATAAATACGACAATAAATAACTCAGTAAACATTTTGTGGAGTTTTGTAACAATAACAGATCAGGAACTGGTGCAGTTTCACTTAAACTGAGATCCTCTAACTGGTTTCTGTTTCATGAACTGGTCTGTCTGCACAGCAGTGGTGGAAGAAGTATTCAGAGGTATTTATACCAGTACAGAACAGTACTAAATGTATTCTGTTTCCACCACTGCCGTCCAGTAACTGAGTCAGTGATGTTCCTCTGAAGCCGGCGTGTCGTCTTTAACGTCTACAACCTCAAGGAATTTTAAATCTGGTTCTGTTTCATAGTGAAAACGACGACTGCAGCCGTTAGTGTACCGATCCAGTCCGTGCAGGAGCTGTACGTTATGTGGATAACAGTACAGTAACACACATGAAACCTCCTGAAGGTCGAAACACAGACCACATGTTCCTCGTGGGCCTCGGGTGACTGTCACACCTGCAGCCCCGTCCATTTGGTCCAGACCAAAGAATAACGGGTCCGGTGTTTTGGTTCCCGTCCTTTTAACCAACGAACCAACAGCTGCAAATGTCACGTCACACAGGCTGACAGGTAACTCAGAGATTGGACGGTTTTGGTGATGTCATCCTGCATCATCGGCGCTACACGGACCCACAGATTTTGGAGACCAGTTCTAGAAAAAAAGGGGGACGGACGAACCGACCCAGTTCAGAAGTCACAGAGCCGATCACCAACCCTGTGATCAGTAAGTCCACCAGGTCTGTTGTGTACCAGCCGGAAACAGCTGATTGTCTCTGAGCAGGTTCAGGTTTAAAGTTTTTGATCAAAAGATTTTTATTAACTTTTCATTTTTCAGGCGTTACGATTGGCTGATGGACATCCTAAGCTCCTCCTCTCTCAGGCTGCGGTCCAATCGCTGCGTCTCGGACTCCAGGACGGACGGGACTGGACGGCGCGTGACGGCGGCCAGCGAGTCTGTGAGGTCGTGCCTCAGAGAGAGCAGCCACTGGCTGTTTCTGGAGGACTGCTGGATAAACTCTGCCCTCTGCTGCTGATCCACAGCCAATGAGAGATGGAGCTGACTCACCTGAGGGGAGAGGACGCAGTGACATCATCAACATCCACCAACAAGTCAAACATCTGAAACTCTTCTTATGTGGTGCTCTCACCTGCTCCTCCAGCTCCCTCACTCTGCTTCTCAGCCGTTCTTCTTCTGTGGTGACTGCAGACTGAAAAACAAGACAGGTTACCACACACACACACAAAACACACACACACACACACACACACACAGATCTACCTGTGTGTGTCTCACCTGAGATCTGCTGCTGTCAGTCAGCTGCTGTCTGAACCTCGAACGCTCCTCCTCCACCTGAAACACAAACAGCACCGAGCACGTGAACACACACCTCTACCTGTATCTCAGTGTGTGTGTACCTGTCTCTCAGTGTGTGTGTGTGTGTACCTGTCTCTCAGTGTGTCTCTCAGTGTGTGTGTACCTGTCTCTCAGTGTGTCTCTCAGTGTGTGTGTACCTGTCTCTCAGTGTGTGTGTGTGTACCTGTCTCTCAGTGTGTGTGTGTGTGTACCTGTCTCTCAGTGTGTGTGTGTGTACCTGTCTCTCAGTGTGTCTCTCAGTGTGTGTGTACCTGTCTCTCAGTGTGTGTGTACCTGTCTCTCAGTGTGTGTGTGTGTATCTGTCTCTCAGTGTGTGTGTACCTGTCTCTCAGTGTGTGTGTGTGTATCTGTCTCTCAGTGTGTGTGTGTGTACCTGTCTCTCAGTGTGTGTGTACCTGTCTCTCAGTGTGTGTGTACCTGTCTCTCAGTGTGTGTGTACCTGTCTCTCAGTGTGTGTGTGTGTGTACCTGTCTCTCAGTGTGTCTCTCAGTGTGTGTGTACCTGTCTCTCAGTGTGTGTGTGTGTACCTGTCTCTCAGTGTGTGTGTGTGTGTATCTGTCTCTCAGTGTGTGTGTACCTGTCTCTCAGTGTGTGTGTGTGTACCTGTCTCTCTGTGTGTGTGTGTGTATCTGTCTCTCAGTGTGTGTGTGTGTGTGTATCTGTCTCTCAGTGTGTGTGTGTACCTGTCTCTCTGTGTGTGTGTGTGTGTATCTGTCTCTCAGTGTGTGTGTGTGTGTATCTGTATCTCAGTGTGTGTGTACCTGTCTCTCAGTGTGTGTGTACCTGTCTCTCAGTGTGTGTGTACCTGTCTCTCAGTGTGTCTCTCAGTGTGTGTGTACCTGTCTCTCAGTGTGTCTCTCAGTGTGTGTGTACCTGTCTCTCAGTGTGTCTCTCAGTGTGTGTGTACCTGTCTCTCAGTGTGTGTGTGTGTACCTGTCTCTCAGTGTGTCTCTCAGTGTGTGTGTACCTGTCTCTCAGTGTGTGTGTGTGTGTGTACCTGTCTCTCAGTGTGTCTCTCAATGTGTGTGTACCTGTCTCTCAGTGTGTGTGTGTACCTGTCTCTCAGTGTGTGTGTGTACCTGTCTCTCAGTGTGTGTGTGTATCTGTCTCTCAGTGTGTGTGTGTGTGTATCTGTATCTCAGTGTGTGTGTACCTGTCTCTCAGTGTGTGTGTACCTGTCTCTCAGTGTGTGTGTACCTGTCTCTCAGTGTGTGTGTGTGTACCTGTCTCTCAGTGTGTCTCTCAGTGTGTGTGTACCTGTCTCTCAGTGTGTGTGTGTGTGTACCTGTCTCTCAGTGTGTGTGTGTGTGTGTATCTGTCTCTCAGTGTGTGTGTACCTGTCTCTCAGTGTGTGTGTGTGTACCTGTCTCTGTGTGTGTGTGTGTGTATCTGTCTCTCAGTGTGTGTGTGTGTGTGTGTATCTGTCTCTCAGTGTGTGTGTGTGTGTGTATCTGTATCTCAGTGTGTGTGTGTGTACCTGTCTCTCTGTGTGTGTGTGTGTATCTGTCTCTCAGTGTGTGTGTGTGTACCTGTCTCTCAGTGTGTGTGTGTGTGTATCTGTCTCTCAGTGTGTGTACCTGTCTCTCAGTGTGTGTGTACCTGTCTCTCAGTGTGTGTGTACCTGTCTCTCAGTGTGTGTGTACCTGTCTCTCAGTGTGTCTCTCAGTGTGTGTGTACCTGTCTCTCAGTGTGTCTCTCAGTGTGTGTGTACCTGTCTCTCAGTGTGTGTGTGTGTGTACCTGTCTCTCAGTGTGTCTCTCAGTGTGTGTGTACCTGTCTCTCAGTGTGTGTGTGTGTGTATCTGTCTCTCAGTGTGTCTCTCAGTGTGTGTGTACCTGTCTCAGTGTGTGTGTACCTGTCTCTCAGTGTGTGCGTACCTGTCTCAGTGTGTCTCTCAGTGTGTGTATACCTGTCTCTCAGTGTGTCTCTCAGTGTGTGTGTACCTTGTGTGTATACCTGTCTCTCAGTGTGTCTCTCAGTGTGTGTGTACCTGTCTCAGTGTGTCTCTCAGTGTGTGTGTACCTGTCTCAGTGTGTCTCTCAGTGTGTGCGTACCTGTCTCAGTGTGTGTGTACCTTGTGTGTGTACCTGTCTCAGTGTGTCTCTCAGTGTGTGTGTACCTGTCTCAGTGTGTCTCTCAGTGTGTTTCTGTCTCTCTTCAGTTTGTCTTTCTGATTTTCCAGATGAGAGTTTCTCCTGTTCAGTCGCTTCTGTTCTAGCTCCAGTTCGGCCACGAGACGCTGCAGGACCACCAGTCTGTCCCCCACACCCTGCTGACACACACACACACACACACACAGTTAGCTTTGCTTAGTCAGTCAGGTGTTTAGGGCGTCCAGGTGTGAACAGTCTTAATTTTACGTCTGCTGCTGGTGTGTTTGTTGTCTGTGAGTGAAATTGAACTTCCAAACTAACCACAGATACGCTGACCTCGTCTGGGTTAGGCCCCGTCCCCGGGCTCTTCTCCTGTTGGTGGGCTCTTTCCCTGTACCCAATCATAGCTGCCTCAGTTCGCTCCAGAGCCAATCGGACACGATCCCTGTCTTTCTCCAGCTCCTCTGTCCTCTGAGTCAGAGCGTACACCTTCACAACAACAACAAACACCACCAACATCAGCTACAGAAATAACTAGTATAATGTTGTTTCACAGCAGCACCTGGAAGATTCTGCAAACAGATTTTATAACTCTGCTCTGTCCGCTGATATTTTAACTGAATGTAGATGGTGTCGTGTCTTCAGACTGATCTGGGCTGCTTTAAGCTCACATGTTAAATTGCTTTTTTAGTGTCTTGGTCTGTCTCTCTCTTATTTTCTGACTCAGTATTGGCAGCCTCTCAAAAGTCACAGGGTAGTTTCATTCCTCAGATGGGCAGAGACTCAGGCAAACCCCAGAACGCTTGAATCAGAGAATTAGGATTTATTTCTTAAAAAATGATTAATCAATTATCAAAATAGTTGGTGATTAATTTAATAGTTTACACCTAATTAATTAATCGGCTAATCGTTGCAGCTCTAGTCACAATAAACAATATTCTTGTTTTAATATCATTAATTTGCATAAAGCATCAGAGTTGTATCAGTTGCAGCAAGGGAGAAAAAAGGTAGAGAAATCTTAATAATAATTAAACTCACGGCAGGGACAGAACGGAGGGAGACGATCAATCAAACTATTTAAATATTTAAGATATAGGAACAGACTGTTTGGATCTCCCCTAGGGAGGCCCGCCTCACTCTTTGAAAACCCCTGGCCTCGGCCATCTTATGTAGAGCAACAATTCTTTTTCTTCAGATCCCCAGAGAGTTCTTGAGGTGCCATGTTGAACTTCCAGTGACCAACAGCAAATTTAACACACTTGAGACCTTGTAACACTAACGAGTCACATGACACCGGGAAGGGAAAATGGCTAATTGGACCCAATTAGGACATTTTCACTTAGGGGTGTCCTCACTTTTGTTGCCAGCGGTTTAGAGATTAACGGCTGTGTGATGTGTTATTTTGAGGGGACAGCAGATTTACACTGTTATATAAGCTGCACGCTCACTACTTTACACTGTTATACAAGCTGCACGCTCACTACTTTACACTGTTATACAAGCTGCACGCTCACTACTTTACACTGTTATACAAGCTGCACGCTCACTACTTTACACTGTTATACAAGCTGCACGTTCACTACTTTACACTGTTATACAAGCTGCACGCTCACTACTTTACACTGTTATACAAGCTGCACGCTCACTACTTTACACTGTTATACAAGCTGCACGCTCACTACTTTACACTGTTATACAAGCTGCACGCTCACTACTTTACACTGTTATACAAGCTGCACGCTCACTACTTTACACTGTTATACAAGCTGCACGCTCACTACTTTACACTGTTATACAAGCTGCACGCTCACTACTTTACACTGTTATACAAGCTGCACGCTCACTACTTTACACTGTTATACAAGCTGCACGCTCACTACTTTACACTGTTATATAAGCTGTACGCTCACTACTTTACACTGTTATACAAGCTGCACGCTCACTACTTTACACTGTTATACAAGCTGCACGTTCACTACTTTACACTGTTATATAAGCTGTACGCTCACTACTTTACACTGTTATACAAGCTGCACGCTCACTACTTTACACTGTTATATAAGCTGTACGCTCACTACTTTACACTGTTATGCAAGCTGCACGCTCACTACTTTACACTGTTATATAAGCTGTACGCTCACTACTTTACACTGTTATACAAGCTGCACGCTCACTACTTTACACTGTTATACAAGCTGTACGCTCACTACTTTACACTGTTATACAAGCTGCACGCTCACTACTTTACACTGTTATACAAGCTGCACGCTCACTACTTTACACTGTTATACAAGCTGCACGCTCACTACTTTACACTGTTATACAAGCTGCACGCTCACTACTTTACACTGTTATACAAGCTGCACGCTCACTACTTTACACTGTTATATAAGCTGTACGCTCACTACTTTACACTGTTATACAAGCTGCACGCTCACTACTTTACACTGTTATACAAGCTGCACGCTCACTACTTTACACTGTTATACAAGCTGCACGCTCACTACTTTACACTGTTATACAAGCTGCACATTCACTACTTTACACTGGAGCAGTGTCATTTCTTCAGCGTTGAAAGGGGTGGAATAATTTGTGTGAGATCCTGTAGATATTTGGCTAAGGAGCTGTGAGAAATCCACAGACTGTATAAAACATGAACTCCCTGACGGTTTCTGAAGGGCCATCTTGGCAAAGCCTGACTCGCCCTACTGTGTAGTCAATGCAAATTCCTGTTGGGCGGTACGCAGGAAAGTTGTTGTGTTGTGTTTTACCTCCTCTTCTCTGCTCCTCAGCTGCCTCCTGATCTCCTCTTTCTCCTGCAGCAGAGAGGAGCTCTGCTCCTCCTCGTCCTCCTCCTGCTGACAGTCAAACATTTAAATATCACGTATTTTCACTTTTCAAGAAGAGTTCCTTCAGACCTCCTCCTCCTGCTCACCTCTCCTCCTCCTCCTCTGTTCTCCTTGTCTGTCGTGGGGTCTCCCGTCCTCCTCCTCTGTCCGTCCATCTCCTCTCTCTCCTCCTCTCTCTCAGCAGACAGCGAGATGATCTGTGTTTTCTGCTCCTCCAACATGGCCGGCGTGGCTCTGACCCGGCTCAGCTCGGCCCGACTCTCCTCCACCTCCCTCCTCGTCTCCTCCACCCTGGACCTCCACTCCTTCTGCGTCTCCTCCTCTCTCTCCTTCAGCGCCTGGATTTCTTTCAGCTTTACCCTCTGCTCCTCCTCCATCTCTTCCACTCTGCTCCTCCACCACTCCTCAGTCGCCCTCCTCTTCTCCTCTGCCTCCTCCTTCGCCCGTCGAGCCTCCTCCAGCTCCTCCATCATCTCTTTCCTCCTCCTCTCCAGGGCCTTGGCTCTGGCTCTCAGCTCCTCCACCTCCCCTCTCTCCTCCTCCTCCCTCTCTCGCAGCACCTCCTCCCTGAAGGTCCGCAGGTTCTCCTCTCTGCCCTTCTCCACCTCCTCCTTCTTCTCCTTCAGAGCGCTCCTCAGTCGCTCCCCTTCTGCGTGGCTCTCCTGAGAAGAATGTTAAAGGAAAAGTCAGGGGGCGTTAGCCTAGCTTAGCATAAAGATTCAGAACAGGGGGGAACAGTTAGCAGTGCAGGAGGCGCTGTACCTGCAGGAGGAGCTTCAGCTGGGTCATCTCCTCCATAGCAGCCTTCAGACCCTCCTTCATCTGCCGCTTCTCCTCCTCCTTCTCCTTCACCTCCTGCCTGGCTCGCTCCCTGCTCTGACTCAGATCACACAGCTGAAACACAGAGAGAGAACATGCTAACATGCTAACATGCTAACAGGCCTGGATGTCCTGCTGTGGCCACCGTACCTGTGTTTTACGGTGTCAGAGGGATTAATGCCTTTTACATTCTGCATGTTTCGGTTCAATGTTTCCGTCATTAATATCTTTTCTTAACTGACTCGGTGAATTAAGGATTTATCTGGACCAAACTGGAGCTGGTGATCGTTGGAACAGTGACGTCACGCTAACAAAGACGTTTTGGTGAGTTTCACTTGGTTTCTGTCCAGTTTGAAGTGAGTGTTTTAGATGCTCTGAGGCCTTTACGGTAAAATGACTGCACAATTAATGTAATCGCAATCACGCCGTCGTCACGTGCGATTACACAAAAAAACTGTGCGATTTAATAAAACAGTAAAAATGTGCGAGACGCTCTCCTGTGTTTTTTTTCTGTTTTACTTGCTATTGTTATTTGTAAGTTGAGAAATACACATTCTGAATGTCAGTATGTCCTGACAGGAGGGCGCAGCACCACCTGGTGGACCTAAACCAATCGAATCGCACCGTGATGCAGCCCTGCTCTCTGGAGCGACCTCTAGTGGCAGCGAGTGTGTTTACGTGAACGTCTGCGTACCCGACTCTGCAGGGAGCTCAGGTTCACCGCCATCACCTCCACGCTCTGCTGCACTCCTCTCAGCTCCTCCTGGGCCTCCTCCCTGCTCCTCCGCTCACTCTGCACCTCCTCTCTGAGAGCTGTCAGCTCCTCCTGGGCCTCCTCCCTGCTCCTCCGCTCATTCTGCACCTCCTCTCTAAGAGCTGGCTCCTCCTCCTGGGCCTCCTCCCTGCTCCTCCGCTCACTCTGCACCTCCTCTCTGAGAGCTGTTGCCTCCTCCCTCCTCCTCTGCACCTCCTCTCTGAGAGCTGTCAGCTCCTCCTGGGCCTCCTCCCTGCTCCTCCGCTCATTCTGCACCTCCTCTCTAAGAGCTGGCTCCTCCTCCCTCCTCCTCTGCTCACTCTGCACCTCCTCTCTGAGAGCTGTGGCCTCCTCCCTCCTCCTCTGCACCTCCTCTCTGAGAGCTGTCGCCTCCTCCCTCCTCCTCTGCACCTCCTCTCTGAGAGCTGTGGCCTCCTCCCTCCTCCTCTGCACCTCCTCTCTGAGAGCTGTCAGCTCCTCCTGTACCTCCTCCCTCCTCCTCCGCTCACTCTGCACCTCCTCTCTGAGAGCGGTCACCTCCTTCTCTGTCCTCATTAACTTCTCTTGTCCCTGCTCCTTCTCCTCCTTTAGTACCTCCTCTGTGATGACTGTCAACTCATTCTTGGTTCTCTTCAGCTCCTCCTGTACCTCCTCCCTCCTCCTCTGCTCCTTCTGCACCTCCTCTCTGAGAACTGTCAGCTCCTCCTGTACCTCCTCCCTCCTCGTTTGCTCATTCTGCACCTCCTCTCTAAGAGCTGTCACCTCCTTCTCTATCCTCATGAACTTCTCTTGTACCTGCTCCTTCTCCTCCTTTAGTACCTCCTCTGTGATGACTGTCAACTCATTCTTGGTCCTCCTCAACTCCTCCTGTACCTCCTCCCTCCTCTTTAGCTCCTTCTGCACCTCCTCTCTGAGAGCTGTCAGCTCCTCCTGGGCCTCCTCCCTCCTCCTCCGCTCACTCTGCACCTCCTCTCTAAGAGCTGTCACCTCCTTCTCTGTCCTCATTAACTTCTCTTGTACCTGCTCCTTCTCCTTCTCCTCCTTTAGTACCTCCTCTGTGATGACTGTCAACTCATTCTTGGTCCTCCTCAACTCCTCCTGTACCTCCTCCCTCCTCTTTAGCTCCTTCTGCACCTCCTCTCTGAGAGCTGTGACCTCCTCCTGTGCCTCACTCTTCTCCCTTTGTTTTGTGTCTACCTCCTCTCTAAGTACAGACACCTCCCCCTTGCTCCTCCTCAGCTCCTCCTGTACCTTGTCTTTGAGGACAGTCATCTCCTCCTTCTCCCTTTGTTCCTTTTTCACCTCCCCACTGAGAGCTGTCACCTCCTTCTCAGTCCTCCTCAGCTTCTCCTCTATCTTCTCCTTCTCCCTTTGTTCCCTTGCTATCTCCTCTTTGAGTACAGACACCTCCTCTTTCCTCCTCCTTAGCTCCTCCTGAGCAGTATCCCTCTCCCTCTGCACCTCCTCTCTGAGAGCTGTCACCTCCCTCTCCCTCCTTCTCAGCTCGACCGACAGTCCTGCCTTCTCCTCTTCCAGCTCCGTCACTCTGGACCTCCCTTTCTCCTGCACCAGGAGGTGCTGGCCTCTCTCAGCCTCCAATAATCTCCCTTGCTCCTCTTTTTCCTCCCTTAGTTCATCCTCCAACCTCTTCTTCTCCTCCTCTTTAATTCTCAGCACCTCCCTCTGTCCCTTGATTTCTTTCTCCTTCTCTATCAGTTCATCTTCCAACCTCCTCTTCTCCTCCCTCACCCTCCTCAAAACCTCCTCATCTCCCCTCCTCCCCTCCTCTGTCTTCTTCAGTTTGTTTTCCAGCCTCCTCTTCTCCTCCGCTGTCGTCCTGAGCTCCTCTCTATGCTCCTGCGCCTCCTTTTCAATCTCTGCACATCTGTCCTGAAACCTGCTCCTCTCCTCCCTGGCTCTCCTCAGTGCCTCCCTCTCTTCCTCCCGCTCCTCCTCAACCTCCCTTACTTTCTCCTCCAGTTTCCCTTTCTCCTCCTCTAGCTCTGTCAGCTTGTTGTCCAGCCTCCTCCTCCTCTCCACCTCCGATCTCCTCAGCGCCTCCCACTCTCTCCCCTCCTCCCATTTCTCCTCCAGCGTGGCTCTCAGCTGCTGCACCTCCTCCCCTTGATCCTTCAGGATATGATTGAGTTTTTCCACCTCCCTAGCGCTTCGCTCTGCCTTCTCCCTCCACTCCTTCACCTCCTCCTCCATCCTGTCGCGGGCCTCCTCCCTCTCTCTGACTTTCCTCCTCGCTCCCTCGCTCTCGGCCCGGGCCTCCTGCAGCTCCCTGGCCTGGGAGGAGAACCTGTTGTCTTTCTCTCCTCCCTCCCTCCTCTCTTTCTCCAGGAGCGCCCGGGTTTCTTTCAGCAGCGCCTCCAGCTGCTCCGCCCTCGCCTCCTTTTGCTTCAGTTTGTCGTTCGCCTCCTGACACTCCCTCGCTCCCTCCTCCTCCTGCTCCTCCGCCAGCCTCAGGCACTCCTTCAGCTCCTCCACCTCCTCCTCCTTCTCCCTCACGGCGCTCATCTGTCGCTCCAGGCTACGTTCCTTCCGCTCCACCTCCTCCTTCACCTCCTCACACTCCTCCTTGGCCACATTCAACCTCACCTTCAGCAGCTCCACCTCCCCCAGCTTCTCCAACAGCCCCTCCTCCACCTCCTCCTTTTCGCCTCGCAGTCTCTCCTTCTCTCTTCTCTCCTCCTCTCTGCCTTCCTTCAGTTCAGAGTTTTCTTCTTTTAGTCTGTAAATCTCTTCCTCCACCTCATCCACCCTCCTCCTCCATCTCTCGACCTCCTCCTGTGCTTCACTCCTCAGTCGCTCCATCTCCTCCTCCCTCTCTTCCTTTTCTCTCTCTAATCTCTCCATCCGGTCGCAGAGCGCCTCAATCTCTCCGTTCCTCCTCACCTCCTCCTCTTTAAACCTAACCTCCGTCCTCTTCACCTCCTCCTCCAGTCCCTCCGCCTGCTGTATTCTGTCCATCATGTGGCTGATTTGTGCCTCCTTCTCAGTCACCTCCTTCCTCAGTCTCTCCGCCTCTCTTAGTCTCTCCTCCTCCTCCTCTGTCAGTCCCTCTATGCGCCTCCTCAGCGCCTCCACCTCTCCGTCCCTCGTCCCCAGCTCCTCGCTCAGAGCCTCCCTCTCTCTCTGCCAGGCCTCCCTCTCCTCCTCCTTCTCCTTTTCCTCGTCCATCCTCCTCCTCCTCAGCTCCTCTGCCTCCTCCTTCAGCTTCTCCATCTCCTCTTTCAGCGCGTCCCTCTCCTCCTCCTCCTCCTCGCTCCTCTCTCTCTCGTCTTCTCTCCTGGCCGATGCTCTCTCCAGCTCTCCTCTCAGACACTCGACCTCCCCTGCAGACAGAAAACAGGAGCACAAATTTACTCATTTTGCTTTTATCCAAAGCGACTTACATTTGAACATCAATACAGAATAATTAGAGTAAGTGACAACAGGTATTGATAAAAGGAGCACGTTCGTTGGAGGAGCGCAGTGGCCCTGAAGAAATGTAAGCTTGTATTATGGAGTTTAGGTAGATGGAGCAGACCCAGTAGTCTATGGATGCAGCATTAGGAACTTGGATTTTGATAGGTAGAGTAGTGTATCGTCTGCGTAGCAGTGGCAAGAGAAACTATGTGAGTGAATGATCGCCCCTAGTGAGGTGATGTAAACTGAGAAGAGAAGGGGCCCTAGCACTGAGCCTTGGGGCCCCCCTGTGGAGAGGCAGTGGGAGGAGGATAATTGTCCTTGCAACAACATATTGTAGGAACGCCCAGAGAGGTAGAATTCCAACCACAGGAGTGGTTTGCCTGAGATGCCCATTGCTGAGACTGCAGATAGCAGGATCCTGTGATAGGTCAAGCCCGATAAGAACCGATTAGTAGTAATAGTTGTTGTTGTAGTTCTAGTAATAGTTGTTGTAGTTCTAGTAGCAGGCTAGAAGCTGCTGTAGTTCTAGTAGTAATAGTTGTAGTTCTAGCAATAGCCTAGTTGTTGTTCTAGTCGTATGCTAGTAGTTGTTGAAATTCTAGTTATAGCCTAGTAGTTGTGCAAGTAGTTGTTGAAGTTCTAGTAATAATAGTTGTAGTTCTAGCAATAGCCTAGTTGTTCTTCTAGTAGTATGTTAGTAGTTGCTGAAGTTCTAGTAATAATAGTTGTAGTTCTAGTAGCAGGCTAGAAGCTGCTGTAGTTCTAGTAGTAATAGTTGTATTTCTAGTAATAGCCTAGTTGTTGTTCTAGTAGCAGGCTAGAAGCTGCTGTAGTTCTAGTAGTAATAGTTGTAGTTCTAGCAATAGCCTAGTTGTTGTTCTAGTAGTATGCTAGTAGTTGTTGAAATTCTAGTAATAGCCTAGTAGTTGTGCAAGTAGTTTTTGAAGTTCTAGTAATAATAGTTGTAGTTCTAGCAATAGCCTAGTTGTTCTTCTAGTAGTATGTTAGTAGTTGTTGAAGTTCTAGTAATAGCCTAGTAGTTGTGCAAGTAGTTTTTGAAGTTCTAGTAATAATAGTTGTAGTTCTAGTAGCAGGCTAGAAGCTGCTGTAGTTCTAGTAGTAATAGTTGTAGTTCTAGCAATAGCCTAGTTGTTGTTCTAGTAGTATGTTAGTAGTTGTTGAAGTTCTAGTAAAAATAGTTGTAGTTCTAGTAGCAGGCTAGAAGCTGCTGTAGTTCTAGTAGTAATAGTTGTATTTCTAGTAATAGCCTAGTCGTTGTTCTAGTAGCAGGCTAGAAGCTCCTGTAGTTCTAGTAATAATAGTTTTAGTTCTAGTAGCAGGCTAGAAGCTGCTGTAGTTCTAGTAGTAATATTTGTAGTTCTAGCAATAGCCTAGTTGTTGTTCTAGTAGTATGCTAGTAGTTGCTGAAGTTCTAGTAATACTAGTTGTAGTTCTAGGAGCAGGCTAGAAGCTGCTGTAGTTCTAGTAGTAATAGTTGTAGTTCTAGCAATAGCCTAGTTGTTGTTCTAGTAGTATGCTAGTAGTTGTTGAAATTCTAGTAATAGCCTAGTAGTTGTGCAAGTAGTTTTTGAAGTTCTAGTAATAATAGTTTTAGTTCTAGTAGCAGGCTAGAAGCTGCTGTAGTTCTAGTAGTAATATTTGTAGTTCTAGCAATAGCCTAGTTGTTCTTCTAGTAGTATGTTAGTAGTTGCTGAAGTTCTAGTAATAATAGTTGTAGTTCTAGTAGCAGGCTAGAAGCTGCTGTAGTTCTAGTAGTAATAGTTGTAGTTGTGCAACTGCAGCACACACATACAAATACTACAGCTACTGCTGTCAGCACTACTGATACTACTACTACTGCTGCCACTACTACTGCTGCCAGTACTACTGCTGACAGTAGTGTGTTACAGCTGATGTTCGTCACTGACCGTGTAGCGCCTCCTTGGCCTGCTGCAGAGCGTAGATGTGTGTCTGCAGCTGACACCTGTCCACCTCTGACTGGGAGAGCTGCTTCTGCTGCTGACTGAGCTGCTGGTGGAGAGACACCGACAGAGACCTGCAGGAGAGAGAGAGAGAGCTCAGTGTATACACACCTGTACTCCTGTATTATGTCCTGAGGTGTGTTCCCTACCTGAGCTCCTGCAGCTCCTCCTGCAGCTGCTCCCTGTGTCTCTGCACACTGTCCTGCTCCTCTTGCAGCCTCCTGCTCTCTCTCTGCTGCTCCTCCTGCTGCCTGTCTCTCCTCCTCACCTCCTCCACCGCCTGACGCAGCTGCTCCTGTGCCTCCTTCAGCTCCCCGCACACAGAGGCATGCTGGGAGGACAGCTGAGGACCACACACACACATACATCATACATGACGCATCACACAGGTATGTCTCGCTGACACATGACTGTCACCTCCTCCTCTTTACCTCCTCCAGCTGACTTCCATCCCTCTCTCTCTCCTCCATCAGGGAGACCAACTGACTCTCCTTCTCCTCGATTACTCTCTCCATTGCTCTCTCACTTTCTCTCAGCTGACGGACAATGTCGTCCTCCGCCCCTCTCTGCGCTCTAAACAACAAAAAACATTTTAAAGGGTTTTAAATAGGATTATAGGGTTTAGGTTCAGGATTAAAGGTTTACGTTCAGGATTAAAGGGTTTATATTCAGAATTAAAGGATTTACATTCAGGATTAAACGGTTTATATTCAGAATTAAAGGATTTACATCCAGGATTAAAGGATTTACATCCAGGATTAAAAGAATTTACATCCAGGATTAAAAGGATTTACATTCAAGATTGAAGAATTTACGTTCAGAATTAAAGGATTTACATTCAGAATTAAAAGTTTATGTTCAGTACTGAAGGATTTACATTCAGGATGAATTGATTTACATTCAGGATTAAAGGGTTTACATTCAGGACTGAAGGATTTACATCCAGGATTAAAGAATTTACATTCAGGATTAAAGTTTTATATTCAAGACTAAAGGATTTACATTCAGGATTAAAGGATTTACATTCAGGATTAAAGGTTTATATTCAAGACTGAAGGATTTACATTCAGGATTAAAGGGTTTACATTCAGGATTGAAGAATTTACGTTCAGAATTAAAGGATTTACATTCAGGATTAAAGGTTTATATTCAAGACTGAAGGATTTACATTCAGGATTAAAGGGTTTACATTCAGGATTGAAGAATTTACATCCAGTACTAAAGGTTTACATTCAGGAGTAAAGGGTTTACATTTAGGAATAAAGGGTTTACATTTAGGAGTAAAGGTTTACATTCAGGATTAAGGGATTATAATAAGGATTAAAGGTCGTATTGTGGATTCAGGTACAAACGAATTGTCGTGGAAGCCAAACTCACCTGAGCTGGCTGCAGTCCATGTTGAGGGTTTTGACCTCTCTCTGCAGAGAGCTGACCTCTGACCTCAGAGCCTGCAGCTGTGATTGGCTGTCTGACAGCTCGCACTCCAGCTGGAAACACACAAACAGACTAATGTGATGATCTTGCTCAGGAGCCTTTGAGCCAGGCAGTATCTCCCGACAGGTAAAGCGAACAGCGGTACCTGCAGCAGCTGTTTGTTCAGCTCTCTCTTGTCTGAGGCCAGAGCCGAGTTCAGGGCAGCCATCTTGTCGAGAGCGTCACGTCCCTCCTCCACCTCCCGCTTCAACACGCACTCTGAGGACGAGAGACGCAACACACCCTCCCTGGACTGAAGGAGAGAGAGAGAAAGCATTTTACAAACAAATCCTTATTAAGAGATTGTCATATTATACTGATGACTTTATGAAATATACTGAATACATATTTCATATTTTGGCTTCTTCTGCTTCTCACAGACTTGTACTTGGTTAAAAACTGACTGTTGACTATCTACCCTACATGGAAAACATGATAACTCCTGTGTAATGAACAGTGGTGGAGCCAAGTACATTTACTCAAGTGAAAGTAAAGTACAAGGACCTCACAACTGTACTTGAGTATTTCCATCTTCATTATCTGCTACTTTATACTTCTACTCCACTACGCTTATTCATTAACTTTAGTTACTTTGCAGATTTAGATTAATAATACACCATCTGTAATATTAGAAGATAAACCTTTACTGATCCGGGGGGAATTCACAAGTTACCCAGCCATGTAGGAAGTCATTAAAATGAGCTCCACCTTCAGCAGCTGCAGCATTAAAGCGATGAACACATGAAAGCATCAATTATTATAATCCAATATTCTAATATCTAATTCTGCATAATGAGTAGCTTTGGTTTTGGTACTTTAAGTATTTTTTGATGCTGTAAAAGTAAGAAAAGTAAGATTTTAAATGCTGACTTGTACTTCAAGTCAGTGCTGGGCAATAAAACAATAATTTTCGCAATATAATTTTCCCCAATAACAATATAACAAATGTTCAATATATCGTCAAAAAATATTTTAATTAAATACGAATTAGCACATAATTTTTATATTAATATTTTTGTTTTTTTAAGGAATAGGGATGCAAATAGATTTAGATTTGTAAATTGATCCACTGTTTGGCATCAAGTGTTTGTCACATTCTGACCAGAAAGAAAAGTTTCACCGCTCACTTAACCAGCTGGCCCTTAAATTTTCATTCAGGGGCAAAAATCAGCCTTTAAACTTGAAAGAAATAATGAGTTGACATTTATCGTGATAATTTTCGATATCGAATGATATGAAATGTCATATTTTTCAATCAACATTTTTGGCCGTATCGCCCAGCCCTGGCTGCGTCCACCACAGCTAATGAAGTGTTCCCGTGTACCCGTCACATCCCCGTCCTCTTAATCTTCTTCACTGCTGACTTTAAACTGCTTTAACGTGTTTGAATCAGAAACCTCACCTTCTGCAGGGCGTCTCTGGCGTCGGCGGCCTCTTCTTCTGCTCTCTGTCTGTCCAGCTGCTGCCTGTCCAGCGCCCCCTACAGGGAGACCGAGCAGAGAGAAGGAGACTGTTTCAGGAGAACGAACAGAAGGAAGAATCTTTCTGTCAGCGAACGGTAAGAATCGACAGTAACTCACTAAAGGCTGGTTTCTCACCTTCAGAGCGTGGAGCTCCAGACGCTGCAGAGTTTCTCTCTCAGTCAGCTGGACGCTCTCCAACAGCTCCGTTTCAACTCTGCAACAAAACCAGTTCAGCATCCGGTGGATTAAACAGCAACGCGACTCCGACCCCTGGTCACCACCGAGACCAGGAAGCCTCCTTCCCCCCGTCAGTCCCAGCAGAACGCCGTGAGGCTTGCACACAACCTGATCAGTCTAATCCAGCCCTGGCGAGGGACCGTGTTGTATCCCCTTCTGTGTTATTACGGCGATCCAACCAACATTAAATCTGGTCTCTGTTATTTATGGGTTAGCGTGTGTTTGTAGGAGTTGAGTTGGTTTTAAGTTCTTAATTTTGTCTAACAGTCGCAGGCAAATAGCTTCTTTTTGCTAAAAATTTTCCAACTAAAAGGGTTTTAAAGGATAATTTCTGTATTTTTTAACCTGCTGTGCAGCAGATGCTGCAGCCGGCAGCTCAACCGGCTGTATTCACAGAAAGGTCTTCTTGTTGCCACGACAGGCTCAGATTGTTGCACCAGGTGTCTGATAACATCATGGAAAGGATCCCTACGAGGGACTCCTGGTGACTCAGGAAACTCAAGTCTCACTTTGAAATCTGGTTAGAGGCGAGTTGTTGCAGGAAGACGCCGGTGGAACGTTAGGAAAGCTCCTCTACGTACACAACAAACTCCTCCCCCTCGTTTCCACCGGCGTCTTCCTGTTGTCCCGTTATAGATAACGAGAAAATTACCTTTTGATCTTGACATAATGGAGCGAAAGCAAAGTTTGGACCCATAGAGTTTATGTTCAGGATTACAGATTTAGGTTGCACATCGCTCCTCCTAACACGGAAGCTGTGAAATGTTTTCATTCGGTTTTAAAGCCTCTGAACGTGAAGTGTGTCTCTATAACATTATATATGCTTCACTAAATAAGCACCGCTAATCTCTGATTGGTGCACAGACACACAGACATCATGTTTTCCATCCACTCTGAACCAGTAAAACGAGAAAACGGACACATAGAAAGTGGAATAACCAAACTCTTCTTTGTCGGCAAAGACGCCGAGCAGGAAACTGTCTCGTCAGTTTGTCCCAGCAGTATATCACAGTCTTTATTAATAATATCATTATTAATCCTGAAGCACGACCGGGACGAGCAGCAGAACATGGATGGATTGATGGATAAATCTTAATGTGTTTTGAAGCGTCTGGATCAGCAGCACTGAGGATGATTTATAACTACTGTTGCTGATCATGACGAGCTGGGAAACACCTGCAGGGTTTAAATGAATACCGTCTGTGTGTCTCGGTCTCCAGCTGTCTGCTCCTCTCCTCCTGTCGGTCCCTCTCCCTCCTCAGACGCTCGTTCTCCCTCTGAAGCTCCTCCTCCCTCCGCTGCACCTCGTCCACCTGCAGGCGCAGCGAGGACGCCGCCTCCCGCTCCCTGAGATGCACACACATTACAGTGATTACTGCGGTGCGGAGAATATTTAAAATACACTAGAACTTGGCTCAAGCTTGTTTCTAATAAACTGCACATCCTGGTCTCAACACTAGATGTCGCTGTCATCTTCAACAACTACAAGACAGAAGTTTCTGAGTTTGGCCGTGACTTCTTAGATTTTCTATAACTTTAACCTTTGTGGTTAGAAATATAATCATCGCACAGCTGACTGCAGATATTTAAATGAAAAGGTTTCCCTTTAAATGAATGCTGGAAATGTTCAGTTTGAGTCTGCAGGTGTGTTCAGAGAGACTTCAGGTGTGGCCTTCAGAATCAAAGTGGATCAATCTGTACTTTGGTATCGGTCTCACTCGCTGAATAAAAGCACAGGCTGATGACTGAAGGAGAAATAAGGGACAATATATACAGAAAATTAATAAAATATATCTCACATTAGTCCTGCAGAGGCTGCATGTTCCTGCTGCCTCACCTCTCTGCCAACACAACAGTGTGCTACCTTTCAAATGTGCAGCACAAAGCCTCAGGTAATCAACACACCTCTTTATTCATCACCTGCTGACTGAGCGTGTGTGTGTGTACCTGCTCAGTGTTTGTGTGTGTGTGTACCTGCTCAGTGAGTGTGTGTTTGTGTGTGTACCTGCTCAGTGTTTGTGTGTTGTGTGTGTGTACCTGCTCAGTGTTTGTGTGTGTACCTGCTCAGTGTTTGTGTGTTTGTGTGTGTGTGTACCTGCTCAGTGTGTCCACAGTGTGTGTGAGCTCCAGGTGTGTGTGTGTGTACCTGCTCAGTGTTTGTGTGTGTGTGTGTGTGTGTACCTGCTCAGTGTGTGTGTGTACCTGCTCAGTGTGTGTGTGTGTGTGTGTGTACCTGCTCAGTGTGTGTGTACCTGCTCAGTGTTTGTACCTGCTCAGTGTTTGTGTGTGTGTGTACCTGCTCAGTGTTTGTACCTGCTCAGTGTGTGTGTGTGTGTACCTGCTCAGTGTTTGTGTGTGTGTACCTGCTCAGTGTTTGTGTGTGTGTGTTTGTGTGTACCTGCTCAGTGTTTGTGTGTGTGTGTACCTGCTCAGTGTTTGTGTGTGTGTGTTTGTGTGTGTGTGTACCTGCTCAGTGTTTGTGTGTGTGTGTACCTGCTCAGTGTTTGTGTGTGTGTGTGTGGTTGTGTGTGTACCTGCTCAGTGTTTGTGTGTGTGTGTGTGGTTGTGTGTGTACCTGCTCAGTGTTTGTGTGTGTGTACCTGCTCAGTGTTTGTGTGTGTGTTTGTGTGTGTGTGTACCTGCTCAGTGTTTGTGTGTTTGTGTGTGTGTACCTGCTCAGTGTTTGTGTGTGTGTGTACCTGCTCAGTGTTTGTGTGTGTGTGTGTGGTTGTGTGTGTACCTGCTCAGTGTTTGTGTGTGTGTGTGTGTGTGGTTGTGTGTGTACCTGCTCAGTGTTTGTGTGTGTGTGTGTTGTGTGTGTACCTGCTCAGTGTGTGTGTGTGTGTGTGTGTGTGTGTGTACCTGCTCAGTGTGTGTGTGTGTGTGTGTGTGTGTACCTGCTCAGTGTGTGTGTGTGTACCTGCTCAGTGTGTCCACAGTGTGTGTGAGCTCCAGCTGTGTGTGTTGTGTGTGTCCGTGCAGCTGCTGGTTGTCGTCCTCCAGCTGTTTCAGTCGGCGCTGCAGAGCCGCCTTCTCCTCGCCGAGCCGCCGTAGAGATAGCTCCGCCCCCTGACACACACACACAGGTTAGTTAGCACCTCCTCGACCTCCGAGCTCAGGAGGAGCCACTGCTGCCTCACTGACCTGCAGCTCCTCGTGTCTCCACTGCAGGGAGCTCTCAGCATGAGACAGGACGGACAGCAGGGAGGACAGGTCCAGACCCAGGACGCCGTCTGAGGAGACGCACACAGACCGGCTGCTGCTGCTGCTCAGGACTCTGGACTGAAGACAGACACACAGTGACCTCTGACCTCAGTGACCTCTGACCTCTCTCCATCATTAACACTCACCAGCTTGATCACAGCTTGACTGACAGACTGCAGGCTCCTCTCTGTTTCCCTTAGTCTCTCTACCTCTCTCTCTCTCTCCTCCCTCTGCCTGTCCTCCACCTGCAGCGAGCGAGAGAGCTCCGCAACCCTGAGAGAGAGAGAGAGAGAGAGAGAGAGAGAGAGAGAGAGAGAGAGAGAGAGAGAGTGTGTGTCAGACAGGTGTTCTGCAGGTAGACAGTCTGAAGAGGCCTCTCTGCTGGGGGGACCCTGGACCTGTTTCCACAGGGTCTTGATTATATTCAGGATCAGGTGTTTACATGGACCATAAGAAACCTGGTTCTTCAGATCCCTGTTCACCTGGCTCTGACAGGATCCAGGTGTCTGTGTGCAGGTGAGCCACGACCTTCTATCCCAACAAGGGATGATCAGAAACCTGGATCAGGTGTTTACATGCCACAGCGTCCTGGTTTCTATCAGTGTACTACAATATCCAGGTTTCTCAAAACCACGATAAGACGATGTGCAAAACATAACCAGGACCCTCCCAAAACCAGATCATAACAGTAAGTGAGGCGTCCAGGAAAGAGGATTCATGGTGACGAGACGTACAGATGTGGACGGACCACATGATCCGGTTCGTTGGAAGCAGACTGAAGCTTTAAAGATTAGTTTCCAGGAGTTAGGGAGTAAATAAATAAATCTGTAAATACAGTAGTTATAATCAAGCCTTTAGTGTCTCAGAGGGAGCGGTGTGTTATGTCACTTGAATCGTTGAAGACTAACAAAACTGCATTGTGGGTAATGTAGGCGGCAGGTGTTTGGCAAAGTCAGGATGTCTCTGGTTCTGTTGCATCGACGATCCTGCTGACTGATCCAGCTCGGAGACAAGAGATATTGATTGACCGAGACAAAATGATTGATTGATATTTCCCACACAGAGGCTGAGATCTGGCCTCAGGAAGAAGTGAGCTAACTACTAGTTAGCACGCCAGCTAGCTCAGCCACTAAGCATGAAGCTAACGCTAACGAAAAGCACAAAGAAGATCAAAGGAGAAGAAGAAGAAGGACTTACCGTTCATTCAGCTGCAGAACTTTGGTCTCATGAAGAAGCTTCAACTCTGAAATCTCTCGCTCCTCCTCCTCCTCCTCCTCCTCCTCCTCCTTGATCTCCAGCTCTCCCAGACTGAAAGTTCCCAGGCTGGAGGAGGAGATGAGGGGAGGAACAGCCGGCGAGGAATCCGGAGGAGGATGAACCATGGTGGAGGACAGAGGAGGATGAGAGGAGGAGGAAGGTTTGTCGGGAGGAGCGCTGAGCCTCAGGGAGGAGGAGACAGAGTCGCAGCTGGAGAGGAGAGAGGAGGAGAGACGAGAGAACTCCGCCCTCAGCTGCCACAGGTCCCTACAGACAGAAGAGGCGGTCAGCTCGTCACAGGTTAACGCCTCCTACAGGGTAACGATCAGCTTCGTACCAGAGCTACAGACCTGTCGGCGGCCGTTCTGACGGTGTGACAGTGTCGCCTCAGAGCGACCACAGACCTCCAGACCGACAGCAGCCGAGCCTGCTGCTGACCCACGTGACCGGACCGACACTGGAAACACACACACACACTTCAGTCTAAAGGTTTGGTCAGAAAATCATCATCATCATCATCTTCATCTCCTCCAGAGGAGTAAAACCAAACTGCACACCTCCCGCTCTCTCTGCCAATCATCTTCTTTCTGCTCCGCCTCCTCCACAGCTCTTGTCCAATCAGATGTCAGCTTCTGGAGGTCCTCCCTCAGGGCCTGGTTGGCCTGCTCTGATTGGCTGAGCCGCTCCCGGAGGAGAGCGTTTGTGTCGGCCAGACTGACTGACCTGAAGACACACACACACACACACACACACACACACACACAATTTATTCATTTAGCTGACGCTTTTATCCAAAGCGACTTCCAGCTGCTGTACATGTCAGAGGTCGCACGCTCAGGAGCAGCGAGGGGTTAAGTGTCTTGCTCAGGGACACAAAGGTGGATGTCTCACAGTGAACCTTATCCACTGTGCCATCACCGCCATCACACACACAGGTGAGACTGACACACACACACACACACACACCTCTGTTGTTCCTCCTCCAGCCTGATGAGGGCGCTCTCCAGAGAGTCACTGTGTTCATCTCTGATCCTCCTCTAGAAACACAAAACATCACAACTAGTACAGTAACACCAACGTCTGTACTACTGCAGTAGCAGCAGTATTGCAGCAGTACTGCTGTAGTATTGCTGTAGTATTGCTGTAGTATTGCTGTAGTATTGCTGTAGTACTGCTGTAGTATTGCTGTAGTACTGCTGTAGTATTGCTGTAGTATTGCAGCAGTACTGCTGTAGTATTGCTGTAGTACTGCTGTAGTATTGCTGTAGTACTGCTGTAGTATTGCTGTAGTATTGCTGTAGTACTGCTGTAGTATTGCTGTAGTACTGCTGTAGTATTGCTGTAGTATTGCAGCAGTACTGCTGTAGTATTGCTGTAGTACTGATGCAGTATTGCTGTAGTATTGCAGCAGTATTGCTGTAGTATTGCAGCAGTATTGCTGTAGTACTGCAGCAGTACTGATGCAGTACTGCTGTAGTATTGCAGCAGTACTGCTGTAGTATTGCTGCAGTACTGCTGTAGTATTGCAGCAGTACTGCTGTAGTATTGCTGCAGTACTGCTGTAGTATTGCAGCAGTACTGCATCAGAGTCTGACCTCGGTGTTGAGCAGCTGTGTGTGTTCCTCCTGCAGCTGCAGCTCCACATGTTGACAGCGGTCTCTGTACTCCAGAACCTGCAGACGTCGGGGGAAAGTACAGAAACTCTGACACAGTTCTGAACGTCGTCTTTCAAAAGATTCATTATTTTTTTATCAATGAAAAAATAATAATACGACGATCAATAAGAGTAGAAGTACTGATACAACGCCCATGCATCCATCTGATTAATAAAGTAAAGCTGAAACGATTAGTTTATTAATCGATCTCATCGCAGTTTTATCTGTCAACTATTATGATAATCAGTAAATGTTTAAATATCTATCAGGGTCATCGAGACATTTGACTCTTGAAACATTTGGCTTTGTCCCAATTTTAGGACATTTCATAAATTAAACAATTAACATGACCCTTGAGCCCTCGCTGCTCGGGAGGCGTGCGACCTCTGACATGTCATCAGCATATTAACAAAACTCTCAACTCTTTAAACTCTCACTCTCAAAGTCTCACCTTGTTCTGCAGTCGGTGGATGAGCAGAGCCTGTCTGGCCTCCCTCTCTCTCCCCTCCCTCACCCTCCTCCTCCACTCCCTCTGCTCACCCTCCACCTGCAGAGAGAGGGCGAGCGAGGGAGACACTGACTGGCGCAGCTGGAGAGAGAGAGAGAGAGATTTAATGGTTTGATTCACCCTGATCATCATCATCACCTCCTCCTCCTCCTCACCCTGTCTTTCAGAGCTCTGCTCCTGGACTCCAGCTCCTCTCTCTCCGCTCGACTCTCCGCCAGCTCCTCCTGCAGACGACACACTTCCCGTTTAAGCTCCGCCTTCTCCTGCTGCCACCCAATCAGCAGCTGCGGCTCCATGCTGACAGGTCGACCTCTGAGACTCTGTGAAAATTCCATTTTTATTATTTACTGAGTCTGTTCGTAGTACATTAACTCAAGTACTTTACCTAAATATAAATTACTTCTACTGCACAACATCTCAGAGGGAAATACTTTTATTTCCCTACATTTATCTGACAGCTTCAGTAACTTCACACAAAACACCTGAAGAGTTTATAAAATCTGACGTTTGGCTATAAATTAAACTCCAACAGCTGAAATGATTAGCTGGTTAATAAAACAGTCAAGCTCTGATTCTGCCAAAACACAGATGACCTACACAGCCTGCTGCACCTGAACACATCCCCTAAACAACGTTTAAAAACAAACCAATAAAGAGAAGCCGTTTCTGTCAATTCAAATTCATATCAGCTTTTTTGGCGTGAATGTTTAACAACAGTGTTGCCAAAGCTGGATATAAATTACATAACAATTCATTTTATACATTTCTTTAAATAAGTAAATAAAACAGTAAAATTTGTGTTTGTGTGTTAATAAAAAAATAATAAAAAATATATAAAATATACAAATACCGTAAAATTAAATATTAAAAATAAAAGTAAATAAATAAAACAGTAAGCGTGTGTGCTAATAATATATTAAAAAATTATATAAATTAAATAAATGAAACAGTCACATGTGGGTGTTATTATAAGAATATATTAAAAATTTAAATTAAATAAATGAAACAGTCACATGTGAGTGTTATTATAATAATATATTAAAAATTTAAATTAAATAAATGAAACAGTCACATGTGGGTGTTATTATAATAATATATTAAAAATTTAAATTAAATAAATGAAACAGTCACATGTGGGTGTTATTATAAGAATATATTAAAAATTTAAATTAAATAAATGAAACAGTCACATGTGGGTGTTATTATAATAATATATAAAAATTTTAAATTAAATAAATGAAACAGTCACATGTGGGTGTTATTATAAGAATATATTAAAAATTTAAATTAAATAAATGAAACAGTCACATGTGGGTGTTATTATAATAATATATTAAAATTTTAAATTAAATAAATGAAACAGTCACATGTGGGTGTTATTATAATAATATATTAAAAATTTAAATTAAATAAATGAAACAGTCACATGTGGGTGTTATTAAAATAATATATTAAAAATTTAAATTAAATAAATGAAACAGTCACATGTGAGTGTTATTATAATAATATATTAAAAATTTAAATTAAATAAATGAAACAGTCACATGTGGGTGTTATTATAATAATATATTAAAAATTAAAATAATTAAATGAAACAGTCACATGTGGGTGTTATTATAATAATATATTAAAAATTTAAATTAAATAAATGAAACAGTCACATGTGAGTGTTATTATAATAATATATTAAAAATTTAAATTAAATAAATGAAACAGTGACATGTGGGTGTTATTATAATAATATATTAAAAATTAAAATAATTAAATGAAACAGTCACATGTGAGTGTTATTATAATAATATATTAAAAATTAAAAATAATTAAATGAAACAGTGACATGTGGGTGTTATTATAATAATATATTAAAAATTAAAATAATTAAATGAAACAGTCACATGTGGGTGTTATTATAATAATATATTAAAAATTTAATAAATGAAACAGTCACATGTGGGTGTTATTATAATAATATATTAAAATTTTAAATTAAATAAATGAAACAGTCACATGTGGGTGTTATTATAAGAATATATTAAAATTTTAAATTAAATAAATGAAACAGTCACATGTGGGTGTTATTATAAGAATATATTAAAAATTTAAATTAAATAAATGAAACAGTCACATGTGGGTGTTATTATAATAATATATTAAAATTTTAAATTAAATAAATGAAACAGTCACATGTGGGTGTTATTATAATAATATATTAAAAATTTAAATTAAATAAATGAAACAGTCACATGTGAGTGTTATTATAATAATATTAAAAATTTAAATTAAATAAATGAAACAGTGACATGTGGGTGTTATTATAATAATATATTAAAAATTAAAATAATTAAATGAAACAGTCACATGTGAGTGTTATTATAATAATATATTAAAAATTAAAAATAATTAAATGAAACAGTGACATGTGGGTGTTATTATAATAATATATTAAAAATTAAAATAATTAAATGAAACAGTCACATGTGGGTGTTATTATAATAATATATTAAAAATTAAAAATAATTAAATGAAACAGTGACATGTGGGTGTTATTATAATAATATATTAAAAATTAAAATAATTAAATGAAACAGTCACATGTGGGTGTTATTATAATAATATATTAAAAATTTAATAAATGAAACAGTGACATGTAAGTGTTTAATATTGTATTGTATTATGTATTTAATTTAAAAAAAATCTGTATCTGTAAAATGAGTAGAATTATTTATCAGTGTGGTTGTCCTCAGTTTGTGGGAGTCACTAATAAACAGGACGATTTGGATTTAGGGACCTGTCGCTATGACAACAGCTCAACGCTAATCCAGGTCAACACCCTGAACAGACTGTGCTGAGAGTCCAGGTGGACAAAATAACAGAGAGACACCTGTCCAACAAGTGACAATCAGCTTGTGTTCAGTGTTTAATCCTGCACATCTCACCTGGCTGCTCGCAGGTTCGAGACCCGGACAGAACCGGTTCCAACTACGACTGATGTGAAACTGCTGCAGAGAAGCGGTTCATTAGAGAATAACCCGGGATAAACTTTAGCGCAGCTCCCGTTAGCTCCCGTTAGCTCCCGTTAGCATGCTAACAGCAGGGGAAGAAACGGAAGCGAAGGTGAAGTTCGTACCTGCTGCTGCGCGAGCTGCTCTCACAACCCGCCAAACAACGACGAACATTGAAACACTTTAAAAAGTTCAACAGAGCAAACGGACCCGTAAACACGCACATGCAGGTGTTCATGGACAAACCTGCTGCTGTTAGCACTTTCAAACCGGGAACCCGACCTTTCACCCCGGAGACCGGAAACAGCTTAAAGCCAAACAGCGACACCTGCCGAGAAACAAACACACAGCAACACACATATTCTGCTAAACTAGAAATATTAGAGACGTTCAATTCAAATAAAGTGAGTAAGTAACCTTCAACATAACGTACAACACAGATAACAGCGAGAAAACACTTCATTAAATAGGGAAGAAAACCAAGTAAAATCAGGAAAGGCTCCGTAACAAAAGTCTCAAGAAGGGGTTTAAAGGTCCAGCTGCAGTTTTTAGGAGGCTCTACTGACAGAAATGCAATGAAGTACGTATTCAGCTTTCTTATTTCAGTGCACACGGTAATGGAAGTGGCTTAAGGTGACATTTTATGCTCTTCTGTTATTTCTATAATGTTACACAGATGTTTAAGCTTTAAACAATGAGGTAAATGATCGTGATGATTTCTCTTGAAATTGGGTTGTTCAGATGAAAGTATTGTTATTCATCACGTAGGAACGATCATCAGTCGCCCATCCTGAGATCCGCTGGTCTCTTCACAATAAAGAACTCTGAATGTTTCTTTTCTTGACTATTAAACAATTAAATTAACACGTGCGTTCAAAATATCCACAATATATTTGTAAATGATGTAATTAATTTGTTTGTTTTTGTTTATTGGCTGTGGGTCAGATGAAGTCTGATGTTTGTTTAAGTGTTCTGGTTTCCACACTGGATTTTCTACCTGCTGTTCTTCATGTAGCTAACAGCCGACTCTGTGATCTGTAGTCCCATTTAGAGCGCCGGTAATCTGGATTTGGTGTGACACATTCATCTATAACCGATCAGAGTCCTGATGCAGAATCCAGGAGGAGCAGTAAACAACGTCAAATGTCCTCTCATTTTATAAATCAAAATATCAACGAGTAACTAAAAACATCCCTCTGACACGTTTCTTTTGTAACTCTCAGTCTCAAACAGTCAAGTGTTCAGGCAACCAAAATCTATATTTCCATCTCAGGATGTTTGAAACGGCAAGAAACAGACCGACGTGCAAAACAAGATGAACCACCATATTCAGAATAACAAATTCAGCCTTAGGTAACGAACACAACACAAGTAATTCATTAATATCACATGTTTATGTGTATAGTTTTATTTTTCATCTTACTCATGAACATTAATAATTTCAGACACACTTTATTAAATGTATTTCATAACAAATCTCCACATACAGAAATATTAATTTTCAGTTTTAATCTGCAGCAGCTGACCTGCAGGACAAAAGCTTTTCTTTGGTTTTACAGAAAGACGCTGCATCACATGACGATCAGATTCAAGAGTAATCTGATTGGATTGGATCAAATCTGGAAAAATGGGTTGTTCAAAAGAAAAAAAGGATTCTGAAATGTGATCAGATCACCTGATCCAGTCCTGGCTGCGATCTGGATCAAACCTTTTTAGTAGGATTGGGATCCTTTGATCCAAAAACATCAGGATTATTTCAGTAACAAAATGTCAGAAAACTTTTCCAAACAATATAACATTTTATTTTGTAGGAGTCTATATACAGATTTATTTATATTTTGCACCTGATTTGTTTTAATTTACAGTGATAAAGTCGACGTGACCTTCAAGCCTTTCAGTACAGTAAAAATAAATAATAATGTATTTAATTTCAACCAACCAATTTATTTTACTCTGTTTCCATTTGAAAGCTGTGTAAAATAATTCAGTCGGTTTTAAATAAACCTTTGTAAGGACGAGCATCTTGCTGTGCGAAGAGTTTTCAAGTTCAGCTTCGACAAGCCGTCCTGACAGAGCTGAGCTCTGATTGGCTGGAACGTCATGTGGCACCTGTCGTAGCTTATTAGCTGCGTGTCAGAGCAGAATCTGTCACAGAGGCGTTACTGCGTCTTCTTTGTCCTTCCTTCTCATTTCAAAAACATTTTCTCTCATTGAAAAGGTTTTCTATGACCACTCGAGGGCGCCGTCCCCTTCAGCAGGGCTTAACACGAGCTGATCTTTTTAAATAAGCACATCTAAATGAGCCCTGAGGAGCACGCAGCTGGAACAAAACGCCAGCAGGATCTTCTTCCACCGGCTGAAGCTGTGAAGCACCTCAGAATGTGAAGGTGCGTCCACACAGCGCACAGCGAGGGCGATTACACACAACCTCAATGCAAAGACGCCAACAGACGCGAATTCCTGCCGGGCCGTGAGTTGAAAACATATTTTATATAAAGAAATACTCTGCTGAGTGACGGCGAGCAGTCCGGCCGGATTCTGCTCTATACGGAGGCGTTTACCAGCCGGAGGAGCTCAGAGTAACTGCTTTTATTTAATTGAAATTATTCATTGTGATTTTTGTGGATTCACTCGTGCTTCTCAACCTGTCACCGAGTTGCTCTGTGATCGCTTCTCCTGAATATCGTTGTACTTAACTGTAAAATAAGTTAGCATAGCCCTGATCGATCTGAACTCCATTCAGAAAACAAGCATTTTAACGGTTGTTTGCTCGTCATCCTGCTGACAGAGTTGACAAAGCAGGACTCAATATTATTAAGAAATCGGCATCATTTGATCTGTTTACTGCAACTAAATCACAGCAAAATGTTTATTTGTAATAAACTCAGGAGGAGGTAAACAAGAAGTTGTTTTGATTGGATTGAGGCCCCGGATGGAGGCGAGGAACTCTGTAAAGTCGAACTTTCTGCTTTCTAAAGAGGCAGCTCCTCAGAGGCTCTGCAGCTGCAGCACGGAGTTTCCTTCAGTAGGTCCTGAGTCTGAAGACCTTGCTGAGCCTGGAGGTGGCGCTGGAGTAGACCAGGAAGGAGCCTTCGTCGGTGCTGAAGTGCTCCCAGTCTCTGCAGCCGAACGTCGGCAGACTGTGAACCGGAACGAAGCCCTCGTAACCCTGCCACCTGAAAACACAAGACACGCAGAGGTAAAGACCTGCAAACGCACAAAGTCTGACCCCTGACCTCCAGGAGGTACGAACCTGTACACCACGCTGTTCAGAGAGTACGAGCTGCCGTCATGAGAGTTGGCCACAACCAAGAACTTCTCCTCTCCGATGGTGAAGAACTCCCAGTCCACAGCGCTGCACACAACAACAACATATTAATACAGCACAGTGGAGGGAAGCCCTGACGGAGAAAACATTGGCTGGTTTTTCCTTCCTCCTCCGGCTGCTCTGCCTCCAGAGTTTGTTTGTTAGCAGTTACTTTAGCCGCTAACTACTGCTAACAGCAGCTGCTGCTAGCTACTCAGTTAGCCGTGCAGCTAGCCGTCCTGTTGCTGATTCAGCACGGACTGGAAGCTCGGCGCTCCGGGGGGGTGTTGGTGTTTCCACCTCTAACATCAGCACTAAGCTCTGGACCGCTGGTTCAGAGCCAGCTGGTAACAGCAGCTACTCTGTTAGCAGCAGCTAGCGGTTAATGTAGCGTTAGCAACAAGTGAAGCTATAAAGTGTAGGGAATGAACCAGACTTGTTGATCTGCTGATCATAGAAACATAATGCTGCCAAACTCCCCTGGAACTGCTGGAAACATCTGGATTTTAGGGCCTGGACTGGAAATGTAAAGTACATGAACATGAGCTGTTTAACAGAGCTAACTGCAGGAGACACCACCTACTGAATCCTGAACCCGGGTTTTTATGCTCAACAAAAACCAGGATATTATTAGAAAACAGTCTGATGCGTCTCCAGTGCGGCGGTCAGACAGGTGAGCTGGATATGAATCCGCAGGTCGGTCACCTGTGTGTGAGGATGTCCTGGAAGCGGATGAAGGTCCGTGTGAGCGTGTTGAGTTCGTACACGGTGGAGTTGATGCTGTAGAGACTCGGACCGCGGCCCAAAACCTTCTGACTGTTGGCGACGGCCAGAAAGAACCTGCCGTCGATCTCAAACGTCTCCCAGTCTGTCGCTCCCACCGTCTGCAGAGAGAGCAGCAGACTCAGAGAACTCAGACTCAGAAGGGTAACTTTTTAAAAACACTGATGAAATATCTCAACAACTGCTGCTCAGATGTCCATTAAATGTTCTGCTCATGTTCAGGAGAGAGAACCTGATTTACTGAGCTCCACGCAGAAAGCGTGATCACCTCTTTTCTTAAAACCTGTTCTGGGAACAGTTAAAAGGTCTCGGAGGCCTGAAGACCTCAGGGAGACCAGAAGTGCGCGCATGCAATAGATCCTGGATGTATGAGCGAGCTTGACCCTGCAAGGCTCTAAGTAATGATTCAAATTTTAAAATGCACTTTGAAGCCCATCAGTACACACAGACACTTTGCTAGGAGAGCTAACGTAGCGTGGAGCGCAAACAAGTTCTACGGCTACTTGCAATATTTGCAAAGCCAATAGGAGTGTTTGAAATGACTGCGGCTGACTTTCACCGACGACGTCGTAGTCTAACGTGAGCTGCAGGGGCGGGGAATACAAACGGCGCCGTCAAGTCGGACACATTCGCGGCATTTTTCAGTCACTGATCTCAGACCAGGCAATAGCGTGGATCCAAGCCGCCTTGCTCCCACGAGGTTTGAATGTCACGTGACGTTTTGCAGCGGCGGCGAAAGTCGGACACAATTTGTAACCAGCATGCCGTATGTTAAGTCAAACGCACCTCATATTTTGAGGGGCGGCGGTAGCAAGTTAAAACACGACCAACTTAATCAAGCATTTTAGCATTTTTATTATTATTATTATTATTATTATTTGGAGTCAAAACGGGATCCAGGTCGAGTTGTTTTAAATATTACATATGGTTTGTTTTCAAATTCCCAGAGCCTTTAATCAGAAACGATCAATGTGTTCACCGGTATCATCCTGGGCTCCTCCCCTTTCTATCCTGGGCTCCTCCCCTTTCTATCCTGGGCTCCTCCGCTTTAAACACTTTCCAGTAAATCTCCTGTATTTACTACCTTTCTAAAAAAGGGTAAAGCAGTACGTTGAACATCGGCTGTAGCCTAACAGTGACTGTAAGTCTACGGCAAAGAAGTGGAAGAAGAATAACTGAAGCATGAGGACTCCAGGCTGGTGCTGCAGGGCTCTCCAGAGTCTTTCACTCGCACATGCCCCTAAAAATAGGTACATGCGAACCGGAATAATGATTTACGAGCAAAGTGTGTGAGTAAACACTACAACCTACAGTCAGTAAATGTTGTGCATGAATAGTTATGATTGTTAATAAATTAGAGACCAACGGAGAGAATTTGTCTTACATAAGGATTTAACAAATGAAGAGGACACCAGCAGGTTTGATTCCGCCTGAGATCTAAATCAGATCCGTCACTCGCAGCGTAAACAGCAGGTGAACGTGTTCTCCGCCGGCTGTGACTCTTTCTGTCAGAAGATAAATTAAAGGTGTTTTTGTGGTTTTTAAAATCCAATAAAAGCCTTCAGAGGGATGATCCGTCGTGACGGACGGACGAGTCCAAACAGTCTGCTGCTGGAAACCCCCTCACACACACATTAATTACACTCCTCTGCTTTCCTGTGCTTTAACGGGAGTTTGCTTTTTAATCATCATGAACTAACTGAGCAGAAGAAACGTGAAAGTGATTTTACTGCCTTCATGTGAACGTCTGTCATCACATGACTGTTTCATCACTGACCTGCGGGACGTCCTGCCGTCAGGTGTGTTTCAGCAGCGAGCGATGTTCAGTGACTTCACTTCATCAGAGCGTTACAGCTGCACAGGAAGATTACTGTGATCACCTGAGAGCTCCGCTTAAAAGTTCGGGAAACGATATGATGTTATTTTTCTGCTAAAGTGGGTCTGGAGTCCAAGAAAAGTCCAAGTCCTCAAACCCTTTCAAGACGAGTCGAGACCTGGTCCAGACTGGTTCAGGTTTAGACGCTGCAGGGTAAAAACCTTACTAACAGATATCACCATGAAACTTTCCTAGCTGACTAGCTGACTACTCACATTAAGACAAAAATGTTTGTATTACAGGTTTTCTGAAATTCTATGTTTAAATATGCAAATGAGGCAGCATCCAATGAAACATGTGCTAATTTACATCTTTAATTTACATCATTTGAACTGAAATCTGAACTCTGGTTTAAGTCAGGTTCACAATTATTGTTTTATTTTGCTCACACGTTAGACTTAAATGTTTTTACAGGGGGGGATTTTGGATATCTCTTTTTATTACTCCATAAATCAGAAAATAGTGTCATTAAAAGGCATAAATAAAATCTATTTTCTCCATGTTTTTGGGAATAACATGTTCTATAATTCAGCATATTCAGAATATAGTCAGGAAGTGGAGATTTCAGGCTGAGAGGAGAAACAGCCTTTAAACATATCTATTGTTAAATTCTGACGGGTTTCTTGCATACAAACACTGCTGGATGTGCAGCCAGGGGGCCAAAGCGCTTCGGTAGCCGCTCACAAGACTGAAGTTTACCGCTGGAATCAACGTAGATTACGCATCGTTTGTAAATTCTTGTTGACTTAATAATAAACTGCCATTTCAGAGATGGATCTGTTTGTTTGTGTTTCATTTTGAATATTAATATAACATGCGCGACCGTGCTGCAGGTCAGCGACACCGGACGTAACAAGTCAGCTGCTAGCCAAGAAGCTAAAGGAAGAACGAGGGAGAGAGGCGTTCTTTCCACAGCTGGAAGTCATCAGACCGAACTTGGTGTGTCACACAGGTGCAGAGAACACGGCCCTCCGTAAACGCTGAGACCAGCAGAAAGCTTTCAACCGCAAACAATTTTGTATTGAAGCATCTGCTAAGAAACGTGAAACTTAGCCTGTAGAAAGAAACTCCAGCAGGTAACGTTACCGCCAGTGAAGCGCCCACTCTGCAGGACAGAGTGGCGTTAATCAACGTTTTGTGTTTTGTAAAAGCACTGAAACACACGTGCAAAACAGTAACGTTAGTTCAAAAGTCGAGTGATTTTTTTAATCTCAGACAAAGGCGTTAAAACAACAACAATAGAGAACATCTAAAACACATTAAACTGATAACTGAGTAACTGCATGTCCAAATCACGCTGTCAGAAATCGACGCTTAGCTTAAATCCGGCTCTGAGAGAGAGCTTCCCAACGGTACCGGCGATGACAGCAGGAGGACATGTAGCGTTAGAAAGCCACCTTTTAGGAGAAATCTACAGACGCTCAGAGACAAACTGCAGGGAAATAAACTACTAAATGTTGATTTTAGATGTTTTCTTCCCTCTAGTCTGAAATAAAACATGTCGAGGAAGCAAAGTAGCCCAAAAAACATGGACAGGACTCATGTTATCAAGTTTTTATCCCAACTCTTCAGGCCTGTAACGATCTGAGACGGGTTTGATAACTTAACACAGCTGGAGGTTTGTTTACATCCTGTGAGATCAGCTGTTAACTCTAACTGAATGTGTAGCTGAAGGAACGAGCAGCTTCACTCAGGTAACAGCTGCGTTTCCCTGCAGCTGTGAGGCAGCAGGTTACTTTCATCTGGCTGACTTGTGGTTAGCTGTCGTCACGTCGTGTCCGATCCACTGTGATTACTGTCATAATCCTCTTCATCATGTCTGTCTGCTGTCATCCAGCTGGGAGCGTCTGATGGGGCTCGCCTGTACAGGTAGAGACTCACCTGTACAGATATAGACTCACCTGTACAGATATAGACTCACCTGTGCAGGTAGAGACTCACCTGTACAGGTAGAGACTCACCTGTGCAGGTAGAGACTCACCTGTACAGATATAGACTCACCTGTGCAGGTAGAGACTCACCTGTGCAGGTAGAGACTCACCTGTACAGATAGAGACTCACCTGTGCAGGTAGAGACTCACCTGTACAGATAGAGACTCACCTGTACAGGTAGAGACTCACCTGTACAGATATAGACTCACCTGTACAGGTAGAGACTCACCTGTACAGATAGAGACTCACCTGTACAGATATAGACTCACCTGTGCAGGTAGAGACTCACCTGTGCAGGTAGAGACTCACCTGTACAGATATAGACTCACCTGTGCAGGTAGAGACTCACCTGTACAGATATAGACTCACCTGTGCAGATATAGACTCATATGTAAAGAAACAGAGTCATATGTCATAAATACGATAAACCACATCTCATGAGGAGATCTGTATTAGATCTGAAACTTTGGTGCAGCCTGTTCATCTCCAGGTATCAGAAACAGCCACTGAAGGGGGTCGATCCTGGAGCCAGATCCTGAACCCGGACCCTGCCTCAGTAAACACTTTATCATCACATAAAGCCAACAGACACTGACCGGGATGTTTTGAAAGACCCGGAAGCAGCCGTCCAGCCAGACGTAGACGGTGGAGCTGATGGCGGTGGTCTGTCCGTCGAAGGTGTTGGCGACCACCAGGAAGTGGTACGGCCCGACGGAGAAGAACTCCCAGTCATACGCTCCGGACGTGGACAGAGTCTGGTTCACCTCAAATAGCTGAAGGGACGAGAGAGACGACAGAGAGGATAAGATGGGAGAGGGGAACTGGGAAGGAAAGAGACAGAATAGGATGAGACAGGATGTGGATTAGGGAATGTGATGGGAGAGGACAGGAGAGGACGGGAAGGTGAGGATACAACTCCACAAAATAGTACAGAATGGGCAAGGAAAGGAAAGAAGGACAACAGGACATTAATCACAACATCATGTCAGACAGACTGAGGCACTGGGTGGGGATCTCTGGTACTGCCCTAGAATGGTTTTCATCCTACCTGTCAAATAGGAAGTTTTGCGTGTCTGTAAACAACTATGTCTCCTCATTCTGTCCAGTTAAATATGGTGTGCCTCAGGGGTCGGTCTTAGGACCCATTTTGTTTTCCTTGTATCTGCTTCCCCCTGGACATATTATCCATAAACATGGAATTTCTTTTCATATTTATGCTGATGACACACAAATATACTTGCCCGTCAGATCCACAGACCCTGGAATGCTGAGTTCACTTAACAACTGCCTTTGTGAAGTTAAAAAACGGATGTCAAATAATTTCCTCCAGCTGAACTCAGACAAAACAGAAATCCTGGTCATCGGGTCTCAGCAGATGGCAAATCAAATACTGCCATCTGCTGGTTCCCTAGTAAATCACATTAAGCCTGTGGCAGAGAACCTTGGTGTTTGGTTTGATAGTAATTTAAATTTCGAGCAGCACACCACAAAGCTTGTTCAATCATGTTTTTATCAACTTAGAAATATAGCTAAAATTAGATCAATGTTAACTTTTAAGGACACCGAGACCATTTTACACGCCTTCATCTCATCACGCCTGGATTATTGCAACAGCCTTTTCACCTGTTTAACCCAAAAATCTATTGATCGACTCCAGACTGTCCAGAACTCAGCTGCCAGGCTTTTAACCAGAACAAAGAAATATGACCACATTACTCCTATTTTAGCTTCATTACACTGGCTCCCAGTATGTTTTAGAATTGACTTTAAAATTCTATTGATCACTTTTAAAGCTCTTCATGGCCTCTCGCCTTGTTATATTTCTGTCCCTTCTTAAAACATACTTTTATAGGAGAGCCTTTCCTGATCTTATTTGACTTTATTTTATCCCTTTTATTTTATTGTATTTTACTAATTTTAAATTTATCTTAAAGGTGTATTTAGTCTTTTCAATGTTTTCTTGCTTTTATCTTGTATTGTTTTTGTATTATTGTCTCTTGGGTATTATTGTCTTTACACTTGTTAAAGCACTTTGTAACTTGTTTTTGAAAAGTGCTCTAAAAATAAAGATTATTATTATTATAAAGGACAGAAAGAGACTGGAGAGGACGGGAAGGGTCAGGGATAGAAAAGGTCAAGTAAAATGAGGACATGAAAGGATGGGGAACAACAAGATGAGGACAGAATGGGTTAGGCCAAGAGAGGATGAGACAGTGAGTTGGACATGTCCTCTGGGTAACAGATTCATACTCGGACCACATGTCTGAGAGGACAGCGTTACCTTGGTGTTTGGGTTCCACCTGTAGATCACACTGTGGATGTTGTGGTTGGAGTCTCTGGCTGAGGACACAAAGAGACACTTTAACCATTTTAAACTGTAATAAAACACATCGTTAGGACCAACTGGAGCTCCATCCACGTCTTTCCAGACTCGGATCATGTCTGTAGTGCAGAGTTGGACTGAAGTGTATTTTTGGGCTAAATGGAAGTTGTCCTAGTCGTCAGTGACTCCACATTGTTGAGCTGACTAACAGTGTTGTGACTGTAATTGTCTCATTTCCCCAGCAACTAGTCCCTACCACTTGTTTTCGAGTGTTCCCCTTGGCCCTTAAAACAGAGTTACAGGTTGAAACATTTCCCTACGAAATGGAACAACCCTTCAGGGACCCGATACGTCATCAGTAGTCGACGATGGCTCTGACGTTAACGTCTGTACTTGTGTTTTCGTGAAATGTCATCAATCGCAGCCAAAGTACTGTTCCAATTCAAAAGTCCGTATCTAGACAAGTACAGTCAAACACCTGGATGTGTTCACGCTCCGCCCATTTTAGCGAGTTGCACTGGTGGTGACTTGTGTGGACTTCGGATAGCCAGGTATCCCATAATGCATTCCGGAATGCAATTCGGAAATGTCGGACAAGAAAACCTAAGTTACTTTTGCTAAGTCCGACAAACTGTCGGACCTGTTGGACGTTCAGCACGGCGCTGCCACTGTCTATTCCTGCACTCCCCGGAGAAATATTGTCTAATTTTTGGAAAAAGCGATCACAGTTTTGTAGTTGCATCGTGCATTTGAAGGTTTTATTCAGGCTCAAACTGACATGAAAAAAATAAAGACAGAAGCTAAAGCCTAACGTTACTGATCACAGAGTAAAAGTGAAACACCATATTATTACTGACTATTGAGAAAGAGGATAACGATATTAAGGATCAACAGTGTTCCTGAACAGCTGGTAGGTCTCATTATTACAATCATTAAAAAGCAGAACAGCAGGACTTTATTACGTTACATTCAGTAGGATGTTAGCCAGCGTTATCTAACTAACATTACATTAGGAACAATCTACAGCCGACATTTTCCTGGATTTATTTTAGGTTTTGGAAAGTGAATAAATCGTATTTCTCCTTTCAGCCTCTCTGGGTAGCTGCTGTAACTATTACAAGATGTCTCAGGAACAGCGTTTGAACAGATCTTAGAAAAATACGGCAGAAGAAATCTAGAAAACGACTCTTTTTGCATTAGAGTCAATGGAGCGCAGCCATGAAAGTGTCGGACCTCAGTCAGAGCGAGTCCTATACTGCGCTGTGATTGGCCAGCTGAGTATTCAGGGCGTGGTTTAGCGAAGGGTCAATTGACAACAACTCCAATATGCCGTCCTCCGCTGGGTTAATCTCTCTCGTATGGAAACGTTATATCACAAATCAAGAGAACAAGTTACCAATGAAAACTAAAAACACAGCTTCATTACCTGGTAACTAACGTTACTAGCAATGCTAGCTAACGAGACAACATGCTAGCGGCTGAACTAGCGATTTTTTTATTATTGTTTTGAAGAAAATCACCATATTACGCCCTGCCTCTCTATCGCAGCAAGAATCGGGACACCCTACCCCAAAGGAGCTGCAGGTCTACTCTGAGTTCCTCAGGGACGACTCGGGTTCTCACCATCATCTCTTAGGGAGACGCCAGCCACCCTTTTGAGTAGGGATGCAACAACTAATCCACATAGTCAATGAAAATCGATTATTAAATTTGTTGCCAATGATTCGTTCATGATGTCATCAGGCCGTAGCGACACCGTCAGCTTAACGGAGTAAAGTGATGTGAACAGTAAAGTTATTAAAACAACAGATCAGCGCTGCAGTAACACCTTCACTACCAAAAGCCTCCAGAGTGTGGCAGCATTTCACTCTTCACTCAGCCAAAAAGGCTGTTAACTGCAGCGTCTGCAAAGCTGAGCTTTCCTGGAAACATCGGAGCATCTGAAGAGGAGGCGCGTGATGTTGTTGCTCTGTGGACGGTGAAGACTCGTCTCGGTAAGCTAGTTAGCGAGCTAGCTTCACGTTTTCTATACAGTTGGTCAGTTGATTGATTGTTACAGTAATGGTGCTGAGAGTAGCACATAATTACGATGGCGTTCACTTTCCAGACGTGCCCTGACTTTATAATCATAAATGATGCATCGCTCATGGCGGCGTTCCCAGCTGGAGAACGTGTTGCTCCCGAGTGTGCAAGATTAGACGACACCGGACAATTTCATACTTTCTAAAGAAGAGCAGTATGTTGCAGTACCGGCGTGACAGCTGCTCCGTCACTAAACAGCAGCAGAAACGTTCATCAAAAGATGTATTTATTTTATTGTCGTGACTGTTAATTAGCACATGCCTAAAACAACCTCAGGTTTAATTTAAAAGCTGATAGCTAAATGAGAGGCATTGTGTAATTTCAGCTGCTTGTACCCACGATCTAGTTCTTCTGGTCCCATGGGGTTCTCAGATTTAGTGGTGATAATCCACATCCCGGCCGCTTCACACTCGTCTGCGAACCGGTGAGTGCAGAAGGCCCGGTGATGCCATCAGCGTGAGACCATAATGTAAAAATATATGATGACTCTGACTCATTTACAGTCTCTGTGATAGATTAACGCTGGAGGAGACGGAGAAGAAGTCCAACATGTTGGACTGTTCCTTTAAGAGTGTGCAATCCAACCACAGTGCACCTGCATCAGCTGCTGTTCTTTCAGATGGTCAGATAATAAACAACCTCTCCTTCTTTTCAGCTCAGATCAATGAGTGTTTCATCTTTACAGCAACACACACACAGTCTTCATGGCGCTGACATTCCCAGAGCCCTACTCTTAATCTAACCTGAAGCCTAAAACCAGCCCTTTAAACTTGAGGGGTCCAGCATTTTGGTCCCCGCAAGTATAGTGGACTCCCGGTTTTTGGACCCCATGAATATATATTTGCTTTTGTCACCCTGAGAATAAAATAATGCCAATAAAGATGTATTTTGGGAGGCACAGTGGTCTCACAGCAAGAAGATCGTGGGTTCAAACCCCGGTTGCCCCGGCCTTTCTGTGTGGAGTTTGCATGTTATCCATGCGTCCTTGCAGGGAAGAGATTACCTGAGCAGGTGGGAGGACGGAGCCTTGGTGGGACTCTGCACGCCGTTTCTGTCAGTTACTCAGAAGTCAATCAAACCTATTCTCGTCCATTTTAATCTGTTATTAATACATTTGTTATTAATAAAACTAAACTGTGATCAAACAAACCGGCAGATATTTCTGCGGGGGGACAATCGTGGTCAAATGTTGCCGATAAAGATCCGCCCGGTTACAATTTTCCATGAAGAAGAAGTAGAAGAATCGTGCGTTTATCATGTCTAGTTAGTGCACCACATCCGTGTTTGATATGAGACAAAACAGTGTTTGAAAATCACACGTTACAGAGGCGAGTACTATTTAAATGATTACTGGAGATCAGGTTTCTGTCAGTGTGTGATTGTACCTCGTCTGTGATTGGCTACCACCAGGAAGCTGTGGTTGTGGATTTGAAAGGCCTCCCAGTCCAGAGCGGAGTGAGTCTCCAGAGTTTGGTGACGGAGGAAACGCTGCCGCCGCTGGTTCCACCTGTAGATGACTGACAGCTCAGGCTCCACCTCCCTGGAGTTCGCCACCACCATGAAAATCTGGTGCAGAAAAAACACAATTATTCATCAGCGCCAAGCCACAGAAACAATAAAACCCACCCCAACGCACAGTTTACCGTCTAAAGAGCCAAAAGTACGAGGACACGTTTAACCACAGACGCTATAAAAGGAGTGGACGCCGTAGCATCACGCATTGGTTTGTGGTTTTGAAACCTCCAGTTTGGTGTTTTGTTCGTCACCATCTCGGTTTTTTGGAACCAGAAGTGACCATATTTGGACGCGAGGGTGGAGCTAGCTAGCTTGGTTAGCAAGGTGCATCTGTAATTCACTTTAACTTTTTTGTGATATTAGCTGGGATGCTAATTTTAGCTAGCGACAAACAGGCTTAAAACTAAACATACTTCCTGAAAAATGAGCAGCCGACTCCTGATGAGCGTTTTCAGCGGCGCTGGTTAAATTTACGCAGAGCAGCGGATACGAGTCGCCTCTATCCTGATTGGCAGGTCGCCATGGTAGCGACTTGTCAGCTTGTAGCCCCGCCCTAAAGCCTCCCCTGCTTCCTGGTCTCTGTTCCTCTAAATGGGACCATAATTTACTAAATGAACATCACGCTGTGTTGAAGAAGACTTGAAACTAGCGACTGAGACCATAAACTCATCAGGAAAGTGTTTACTGAGGGAATAAATCAGCTGACAAGTAGAAACATTTTCTCAGAGACTTCTATACAATCACACGTCTTTCTGCAGCCGCTGGAGTCGCCCCCTGCTGGCTGCTGGAGAGAACGCAGGTTTAAGGTGCTTCAGCACTGACTTCAGTCGTGAGACCTGGAGGTTCCTGCTTGATTTAACCTTACACTTTAGTTTGCTTCTGTTCTTCCTGGTTTGGCCTCACAGTTCCAGTGAAGTGAAATCATATTTTCAGTGTTTTTCTCTTTCCCGTTCCAACATGAACCAGCTCCATAAAGAGATGCTCTCCCCAGTTTGTTGCAGAGGACCTTGGCGGGTCTGCAGATGCAAGGTTTTTCTTCCTCTTTCCTTTTCAACGCTCTGCTGCAGCAGGACTTCCCTGTAACTCTGAACACCTGCAGGGCTTTATGTTAACACCTGTGTGTGTGTGTTGGTACACATGAACCAGCTGACTGTACAAACACAACCAACACAATGTGAGCACAGGAGTTCAAACAGCTTCTTCTGGTTTGTCTGTGACCTTTTAAAGAATCTCCTCTCTCTGTCTCTATTCCTCCTTTCAACTTCAGAGCTACGAGTCAACCACAGGTAGGGTCACGTGGTAGGAGGTCAAGCAGACGTCAAACACGACCGTAACGCCTTCCATCAGCTTCTGTGTTTGTATTACATTGAGAAGATGACATAGCAAAATATTAACGGGTTATTTTGAGTTGAAACAAAGTATTGGACCGAGGAATCAATATTTATTCTTATTGTTAGAGCTGATAACTGAAGTACATATTCCTGCTGCCATCTTTGTTTGGATCAAGAGTCTTTATGATGCAGCAGATATTTGTTATGTTAAACACGATTAATGTTTTTGGATGCTTACCTCTGCGGCTCAAATGTAATGGTTGTTGGAGCTCAGCTGATTAATTGGTTATCAATATTTAGGGCCCGAGAATGAAACATGCAAGGACCCTTTTGAAATGCAAGGAATTCTTTATTATTTTCCCTAATTAATTGCAACTTTTAGCGGCCTAAACATGCTCAAAAACTCAACAAACTTTGCACAAAATATTAACAGGGTTGAAATTTATCGTGTCAAATGGTTTTTGTGCATGGGAGTGACAAAACGGCTCGCTAGCGCCCCCTAAAGATAAGCCCCCGGGCCACGTTTCACCAAAATGTACAGCAAAAAAGCCTCTGGGAGTGATGCCCTAAACCCAATAGGAAGTCGGCCATTTTGAATTTAAAGGTAATTTTTGGCATTTTACAGGCTCTGTACTTTAACAACTTCCACCTAGAGAATGAATACGATCAACTTAAAATTTTCGCTGTACAGTCTAAACGCATTGACGATGAAACGTTGCGCTAATTGTGAGTTTTCGTCAAAGGGCGTGTCCGTTGCGTGGCGTCAAAAATCGATAATTGGCCATGAAACAGGAAAAAAGCCCTGTGTTATAATCATGATTTCATTTGCATGAAATTTTCACAGTGTGGTCCAAACTTCACGTACTGGTACACGTGTAATTAGCAGGTGTTCTCCAGCGTCACATAAGGGACACGCTCGACCTCTGGCAACTGCTACGGTATGGAGGACCGATCATGACATAAAGGGAAATAAATACAGAAATAAATAAATGCTCAATAAAAAAATAAGCATCCGATTAAATGCACAAAAAATAAAGTAAATTAATTAATTTAGGCAGTAATTAACTTATACAATGAGACATAAATGTATTTTAAATAGCTTCTTTATTTATTTACCTTTATAATAATTATCTTATTTATTTATTGTCTGTTATAATCTTCAACTTTTTTTTATTAATTACTTCTTTTTTAAATGTATGTATTTTAATATTTTTGTCTGTTTTATTCTTCCTTTTCATTTTCTACCCTATTTATTTCCCCAATGGTATTTATTTCTGCCTGTCCTGTTTACATTTCTGTATGCATTTCTGCCTCATTATGCAAATGAGGAGTCTCTGTGTTGTGTCTCAAGGGGTCAACTTCTCCCCAAAAATGCTTAATTTCAAATCTTTACGTAGTCAGAGTTACCCTGAAAACCAAAATGAAAGAATAAAGTAATGTCCCTAACATTTTAGTGTTTTTTTCACTTTTAATGGACACATGCAACATGTTTTATACTTCCTGTGAACTACTTTGAAATTGTCTGTCTCTGGTGCTTTGCTTGGCTTCATGCCTGTGTTCAGTTACCCACCCTCTCAGCTATGTATATTAGTCTGCGTCTACTCCTTGTTTAGTTGTCGTTTGTTTCCTTGAGTTTGTCCTTTCCGTGCCGGGTTATGCCGTCGTATCTGGTTTACTTATAGATTTCTTCTTGCACTCTGGATATGTGTTCACACCTGTCCTGGACCTTCTGTTCCTTGGACTGCTCACCTGACTCTGCTGCTGTACGTTATCACTTGTTTCATTAAACCCCACCAGTTGTTTCTGCTCTGCCTGAAGTGGCTGCATTTCGACCCTGACACTGATCGAGTTTTGATTGGTTATTCTGTTTGATGCTGATGAAGCTGCAGCAGCTCCCACCTTGCCGTCGATGGTGAAGTGTCTCCAGGCCCGAGCCTCCTGAGTGCTGATGTTCTGGTAGAGCTGGAACGACCCGTCTCTCCATTTGTAGATACCCGAACCGGGTCGAGAGTCCCTGCAGGACGAGACACGAGCGTTACCCTGGACACAAAGAGGAGACTTTATGTAGGAGAACAATGTAGTAGTCAGAGGTGTTGGAGGACCTGTTGGCTGCAGCCAAGAACAGGCCTTCAGACGGGATGGAGAAGACCTCCACATCGAAGGTCTCTGAGCTGGTGTACAGGTCCTGGTAGTCCTCCACGTAATCCAAACGCTCCTTGTCTGCAGGGGAGAGCGTAGAAGAGACACGTGTAGTATTATTCAGTATTTTATCTTGTGTTAAAGCTTCAGCACAATTATTTATCAACAAGTAGGTTTATAAATACGAGGAATTGTATTTGGTGTTTTGGTCACAACAAATAAAGTCAGCGAAAAGAATCACAAACAGATGGTTTCCTTTAAAGTTGACAGTTAATTTTCAAAATTACTTTTTCTTTTGTATTTTCATGACATTACAACTTTCTTTGAGTGTTTTCTCTCCACAGTGGCAGTATATCTGTGTCCTAGAAAGCCCGGGAAAACAAGTGTGAACCAGGTTCAGACCTGGTAGATCATCTCCAGGACAGAAACCATGTGTCTGATGTCTGTGGATCGAAGACTTCCCAAATGTTTATGTTGACTTGTCCAATCACTTCCTGGCTCCTTAAGTGAGAGGATTTAAAAAGGTTGTTCTGTGCAGTGGATGAAACACTGACAGTCAGCAGATCTATCTCAGAGTCGGTGTTTTCCTGTCAGTATCAGAGGACTTCTGTCAGACTCACTCTGCAGCAGCGTCTTCCAGCTGAGTCCGTCACAGATGAACAGGCCTTTCCTCTGAGCGTTGAACCACAGCTGGCCCTCTTCTGGTCCCGAACATGGAGGAGGCTTTCCCAGAGTCACTCTGGCCTCCGCCTCTGAAACACAACAACAAAAGCAACAGTCCTGGGTTTGAAAAAGGGACGACAGTTCAACCTGAACTTGAAATAAAACAGCTGTCAGCGTGGTGCTGATGGCAGCAGGGATTACAGCTGATTACAAAAACAAACATCACGAGAAGGCTGTTTGGTTTTGATTGATGATAGATGGATGGATGGATGTGACTGAAGCTGTCAGATAAATGTAGTCAAGTTAAAATGTGCACTATTCTCTCTGGGATTTGGTGCAGTAGAAAGTTGCATGTAGCATAAAGTAGATAATCAAGTAAAGTACTTCAGTCCAGTTTACAGTACTCGGCTGCAGACAGGAGGTGGAGCGAGACGTCATTAACTGTGGTGGAAAGTCCCTTTTCTGTTGGAACAATCCCACAGTGATGGAGCTGGAAACCTTTCCTAACAGTAACTGTACCTGTGTGGCTGACAGACGCAGGTGAGCTGACAGCTCAGAGTTAATGAAGTGAAGGTAATGAAGGTTTTCGTCAGTCTTTCAACCACATTTCCTCATTATGGGCAGACAGAAAGAGACATGACTCGTACATCATTACACATCAGTCTACATCACCTGAAGGGAGACGAGAGAGCGTGATAACAGACAGAGAGGCTGCTGATGAGGTTCGACCTGCCTGAAGACAGAACAACCACTGATTTACCCAAAGATACATAAACTGTACTTCAATATGAAGATATTTACCCAAAGATCCACAAACTGTCCTTCAACACCAGAGATATTTACCCAAAGATACACAAACTGTACTTCAATATGAAGATATTTACCCAAAGATACACAAACTGTCCTTCAATACCAGAGATATTTACCCAAAGATACAAACTGTACTTCAACACCAGAGATATTTACCCAAAGATACAAACTGTACTTCAACACCAGAGATATTTACCCAAAGATACACAAACTGTACTTCAACACCAGAGATATTTACCCAAAGATACACAAACTGTACTTCAACACCAGAGATATTTACCCAAAGATACAAACTGTCCTTCAATAACGAAGATATTTACCCAAAGATACACAAACTGTACTTCAACATGAAGATATTTACCCAAAGATACAAACTGTACTTCAACACCAGAGATATTTACCCAAAGATACAAACTGTACTTAAGTAACGAAGATATTTACCCAAAGATACAAACTGTACTTAAGTAACGAAGATATTTACCCAAAGATACAAACTGTACTTAAGTAACGAAGATATTTACCCAAAGATACAAACTGTACTTCAACACCAGAGATATTTACCCAAAGATACAAACTGTCCTTCAATAACGAAGATATTTACCCAAAGATACACAAACTGTACTTCAACACCAGAGATATTTACCCAAAGATACAAACTGTCCTTCAATAACGAAGATATTTACCCAAAGATACACAAACTGTACTTCAATACGAAGATATTTACCAAAAGATACACAAAATGTCCTTCAACACCAGCAATATTTACCCAAAGATACACAAAATGTCCTTCAACACCAGCAATATTTACCCAAAGATACACAAACTGTACTTCAATACGAAGATATTTACCAAAAGATACACAAACTGTAATTCAACATCAAAGGTATTTACCCAAAAATACACAAACTGTACTTCAACACCAAAGATATTTACCCAAAGATACACAAACTGTACTTCAACACCAAAGATATTTACCCAAAGATACACAAAGTGTACTTCAACACCAAAGATATTTACCCAAAGATACAAAAACTGTACTTCAACACCGAAGATATTTACCCAAAGATACACAAACTGTCATCATTGTTAGCGCTATATAAGGCAGTTACACTGTAAGATCCAACGTTTTACACAGTATTTGTTTACATTTAGTCAAACATTAACAGCAGCTGAATTAGCAGTTAGCAGCTCCTGTTAGCAGCGTACCCATGAATGTACAGAAAGCTGTCACTTTGATACTGTAGAAAACTTAATAACATGATACTCAGGCTGTTAACTGTGAGTAAATTGAGCCAGTTTTGCTTGAGGCGTCTTTAAAGTGAGGACATGACCGTAATGTCTCTCAACTAAAATACGTAAATTTATTTCAGGATGTGTAGCATCCCTGGGAACAATCACTTTGGATCTAAAATAAACAAGTTTCAAAATATGGTCTCTTGGGTCACATGATCACTACATTTCATTGGATTTGGATGGTTAAACATTGCAGCTGAAACTGGTGTCATACAGCAGGTTAGAGCTAACATCATGCTAACAGTATAGCCTCATACAGTAACTGGTTACCCAGAAACAAGGGGTGGCTCAACTTCCACACAGGCTCAAACTGCCCCACTCTCCCCTACTGGGCTAACGGTTGGGAACCACTGATCCAGAGTAAATATTTATCACGTCCCATTACCAACATACATTTTCCCAGAAACACTCAGTCGAAACAACCAGATCACAGCAAGTCTGAAGTTAAGTCAAGCTGACTGTTGTGTATGCAGTGCGCTCACCTGAGGACAGCAGGTATGTAAATCAAACACACCACAGACTGTTCACCTGATTCAGGTTTATACAAACTCTGAGTCATAAAGAGTCAGATATCCATCAGAGAGAGAGTTCAGTCTGCTGAACTTTATTAACTCTGCCGCCTCAGGCTGCTCACATAGTTCACCTCAACAAACACTCAGCTTTAAGGAAATCCTTTTGTTTGTTCTCTGTCCTCTTTACAGTCAGATGTTTCAGACGGATCTAAGTTTCATAAGGAAGCCCATTTCTGCCACTTTAATGAGAAACCTTCTAAAAGACTCACTGACCAATCTCAAAATAATGATAAAAATATATAGATACTAACTCATTATTTTGAGGTAGTAACTCATTATTTTGAGATACTAACTCATTATTTTGAGGTAGTAACTCATTATTTTGAGATACTAACTCATTATTTTGAGGTAGTAACTCGTCATTTTGAGATACTAACGCATCATTTTGAGATACTAATTCATTATTTTGAGATACTAACTCATTATTTTGAGGTAGTAACTGATTATTTTGAGGAAGTAACTCATTATTTTGAGATACTAACTCATTATTTTGAGGTAGTAACTGATTATTTTGAGATACTAACTAAATATTTTGAGATACTAATTATTTTGAGATACAAACTCATTATTTTTAGATACAAACTCATTATTTTGAGATACTAATTCATTATTTTGAGATACTAACTAATTATTTTGAGATACTAATTATTTTGAAATACTAACTCATTATTTTGAGATACAAACTCATTATTTTGAGATACAAACTCATTATTTTGAGATACAAACTCATTATTTTGAGATACTAACTCATTATTTTCAGATACTAATTATTTTGAAATACTAACTCATTATTTTGAGATACTAACAAATTATTTTGAGATACTAATTATTTTGAAATACTAACTCATTATTTTGAGATACTAATTATTTTGAGATACAAACTCATTATTTTTAGATACTAATTATTTTGAGATACAAACTCATTATTTTGAGATACTAATTATTTTGAGATACTAATTATTTTGAGATACTAACTCATTTTCAGATACTAACTCATTATTTTGAGGTACTAACTCATTATTTTGAGGTAGTAACTCATTATCTTGAGCTACTAAGTCAATATTTTGATAAGGTTTCTCATTATAATGAATTAGGGTATCTTTTTTTTCATCACAGTGGCAGAAATGGGCTTCCACAGTTCATCTCTCTGCATCCAGTACAAAAATCCACAGCTAACAGAGTTATTTTGAGCCCCAATAATCAGGTAAAACTCTATGGGACGCTGGTGGGGCTACTGAGTCATGATAGCCATGGTGTTAGCAACAGTGGGGGCAAGTTATGCTAACAGTAGCCGGCAAGGTAACAGAAATTTTAGAGGACTTATAATTTCATATTGTGTTCAGCCACTAGCCACATCTCCATCCGATTGTCATGTGAATTTTAAGCGGACTTTTGAAATGTCGCAACAAAAAAAAAAGAAAAGTCAATGCAAATTAGGTGCATTTCCATCAGCTGGTTTGGAGTGAATAAACCAGGCTACGGCGAGCGTAGTCACGTCAGTAGTTGACGTTACACATGGCTGTAATAAACAAGACGTCTGGGTTCAAACCAGAAACAAAACCGCAAAGTCGCATGAACCTGATGACCACAGATCTTAGAAAATTGGAGAGAGGTCCTCAGGAATGTGTTTCAAGAGGCCAAACTGCTACCAGCCATGTCTCGATATGGGAATATCCGGTAAGACGGCGAGAGCAGAAACAGCTCATAAGTCGTGAGTTACACGTTCGCTACGTCAGAACTTTTTCGTCAAAATGTTTCCATCTCCCATCTAGGGCATTTAACTCTATTTCAGCAAAAACCACCTCAAGCGAACGTAAAAATGTGTTTGCAAATTTAAGGATTATTTTTTGAATTTGCCCAAATGTGTTTCCACAAACGGTGATGGAAAACTACTGAAAACTATTGTAACCTCTTCCCGAATCCCCTCCAGAAATTCCACAGCTAACATTTGCTAACTAGGGAGCTACGCTTACAAGATATGACATCTTTTTAGTTAACAAGCTCGTCACCAATTTCTTCAGCTTATTAAAAATAGAAAGGCAAGAGAGAAAGAAATATACAGGAACGTAGGTGTAAAAATAGCAGCAAAGGAAAGAAATAAGAAGAAAGAAAAGGACAAGCTAAACAGCTAACTGTTATCATAACATGTAGCTACATTACATCACTTAGCCGCACACAGCTAGCATAATTGTTTTGTTGTGATTATTGTAAATTAATGATGTGGTTTTTGTTTGTTTGTGTGAAACATTTGTACTCTATGTCAAATTCTTTGCTACTGCGGCAAAACTAATCGCCCCTCTGGGACAAATAAAAGGTCTTGAACATGAACTGCAGTTTTGCCGAAGTCTCTCTTGTAAATGAGAGGAAAGACGGTGGCGGCGTACTGGACACGCAAAGTGATATCCGTCTGAAACATCTGGAGAAGAGAAATGACTGTAGGACAGAAGTGTAAAACGTCCTGACGGTACAGGCGGGCTGGAAACAGGAACACACCTGTACGGTGTTGTTGTTTTTAAAGAAGAACACATCAAGCAGTGTCAATCAAACTGCAGGTCACACACACACACACAGGAAGCATCTCTTCCATCCTGTCAATCATTTTGCAGCTCAGGTTACTGAAACACTGATACCATCACAACCAAAACCACCAACCCTGAAAGCTAAGAGGGGTCAAGGTGCCCTGATGTGAACTGGATCCACTGGTTTTTATCAAAGATACAACACATGGCCAAAAGTATGCGGACAGCTGAACACGTGATGGTGCAGCATGTCCGCCTGAGATGAAGCTGCTCTGTGTTACCTTAATACATTTATATTTTGATTTACTGGTGACAAAGGCAGTTCAGGACAGCATTCCTAAAGCTATATTTTATCTTTATTCAGGGTTCGAGTTACGTGGGAGGTAGTGGAGCTCGGCTCCCATAAGGATCCCATCTGTGGGGGTCTCTAATTCATTCATCAACAACCATTATCTTGAATCACAAAGACTGTATTTTTCATTGTAATTAGTACCTACTATTATTTGCATTAAACAAGATAAACAGACTTAAATGAACACTAGGAAAGTGTGTTCATGAACTCCGCTGCCTGACAGGACGGCTGCACTTCTCCACCATTGGCCACTATCGTTTTGACCGAACAGGTTGAGGCCGCGACCCGCGAAAATGAACTCAGTTGTATTGTAGCTTACTGTATTGACTGCAGCTTATTTGTTTAGTATTGTTGGCTTTTTGATGCATCCTCCAATTAGTACAGCGCTACAAATGATAATATGCTTGCTACTGTGTGCCGGCGACAAGCAGTGCGTAAAATAATAACAATTTAATATTATTATAAGGAAGGAATTGCGTTCTCTCCTTGAGCAGTAGTCTTTGATTTTTCAGGCGATTGAAACTTAACGGATTGCCTAGTGTTTGGACGCGTAGGGGTCCGAGGTCTTGTTAGCAACAATAAATATGCTACGTCTGGTTAGACTATCTAAGTAAAAGCATTTCTTAACGTTGCCAAACATTGCAATTTTGAAACGGCACGTTGTTGTCAAGCGTCGCATTTTGGTTAGGTTTAGGAAAAGATCCTGGTTTGGGTCAAAGTCTGACTCTGTGGGCCCGACTCCAACAGCACAGACACCATTTTAGCCAATATTTGTTTACATGTATTCAAACTGTCATTAAAAGTCATATATATATATATATATTTGTCATTAAAAGTCGTTGAATTAGCTGTTAGCTGCTCCTGTTAGCAGGGAGCATGGATGTGCAGACAGCTGCCACTGGATCCTTGTGGTGCTGAAGAAAACAGGTTCTGGTTTCTTGCTGTTTTAGGGACGTTTATTCACGATGGACGATGGATAAATTCTTTAACAACGCCTCCTCTCCTCACCGTACGGGTAAACTGGTCCGCGCTGGTCGGGCTGGAGAGGCGTGGACTTTAGGACCTGAGGGACGGACAGCGCGGCCAGGCTGGGGTCAGAGGTCGGACACAGTCTGGGCGTGGCGTCTGAACCAGGAAGCAGAACCAGCTGACGCAGTAAACCCTGAACACAGAAACAGATCAGTGTGAACCAGCAGACATCAAGGCCTCAGCTGTCTGGAGTCCGGATCCTGATTACAGACTCACAGAGAAGCGACCCCTCAACCTCCTCCTGCTGCCGATGAAGAACCGGGACCCTCTGGTGCTCAGGGCGCCGGGGAACGACTGGACCTGTTTACTGAGAGACAGGAAACCAGTTAATGGGACAGTCTGACCTCCTGTTCCGTCAGTGGGAGGTTCCTGGGCTTCAGACGGACTTCACTGTGGAGGAAAGTTGGTCGATGAGCTGGACTCTCTGATCCTGAACCACCATAGACCAGTTCTGACTGTCCTACATGGTGTAAAATGTATTTGTATTGTGATTTCCTAACTGTGCATAACAGAACGGTCCAGACCGGACTGACCCAGACTAAACCGAACTGAACCAGGAGCCAAACCTGTCGAGCCAAACTAAATAAGGCTGAACCAGACTAGGCTGAACTGGGCTGAACTTAGCTGAACTAGACTGGTCCAGAACCAAACCAAACCAGGCTCAACCAGATTGAGTCAGACTAAACCAGACTAGGCTGGGTTTTACTGAACCCCTACGGAAATGAAGTGAACTAGACTAAACTAGTCTGAACCGAAGCAAACCGGGCTGAACGGGATTGAACCAGTTTAAAGCGGTCTGAACCAGACTGGACCGGGCTGAACCGAACTGAACCGTGATGAACCAGAATGAGCCAGGCTGAACTGAGATAAAGACTCGTCCCTGAAACCACCTGACCCAGACTGAATCAAGCTGAACAGCATTAACCAGGTATAAGTAAACTGAACCAGGCCAAACCAGGATAAAACCGACTGATCCCTGAACTGGACTAAACGAGCCTGAACTGGTCTGACGGTGACTCACAGCTCCAGAGGAAGTCCACAGTCGATGGTCAGCGTGGCGTACGGTCCGGTGACGGCCAGCACCACAGTGTGCCAGCGGTTGTCATCCAGTCCAACATCCTTAAAGCTCAGCCTGCTCCGCCCACCAACACCGGGGGGTGTGACCAGGAAGTGGAGGCGGTTCTCTGAGACACGTAAGCCCAGCAACAGCGAATCAGATCCCTCCTCCAGCACAGAGAAGATGTACTCATTCCTCTAGAAACAGAGAAGAGGAGGAACAGGTGAGACCACACCAGACCGGACTAGACCTGTACAGGTTCTATTCAGTGCTACTGGTTCACCTTCTGTCTTAGTCTCGGTATCTTGATGGTGGCGACCAATGAGAACTCAGCAGGGAAGTAGTCACAGTTGGTGAAGACTTGGGAGGCGGGGAAACTCAGCTCTGTCGCCACAGAGCTGGCCAATCGGAAACCTCTGGACCCTCTGGACTGAACCATCTGCACCTGATCGGTCATTTGATTGATCATTTGTTAATCACCATCAGTAATTTATCTGTTCATACGCTCATCACTCATCTCGCCATCGTTCGCTGTCCTACCTGTGTGGGCAGGGCTTGTCCTGGCGGGCGTGGCAGGGCTCTGGCCAGCAGGTCAAGAGGCAGCAGGTCTGAGAAGGAAACAAACAACATGCAGAGAACAGCAGCGCACTGGGCCTCATGCAAGAACGTCTTTCCTTTCCTAAACCTCTTAATTCCAGTGATGCAGTAAATCAGCAGCTGTCTGTCAACACTTTTAAACGTCTCGCCCCATCCAGGCTGTGATTGGTCGAAAAGTGACACTGACGAGCTACATTCAGCACACGGCTGCTTGAGAGGCACCGAGCTTCTCTTCTCCGTCGTCTCTCTCCGCCGACAGAGTTTAGCAGGCAGGTGAGAACGAGAACAGGTGAGCGTCACGTAGCGCCCAGAGAGCCTGATAGGAGAGTAAAATACACGGCGTACCCGCCCACTTCAAGCACTGCTTAATTCTTTAAGGTTTGTCCGAGAGCTCTACGTCAGATTCATCAATGGTCCCGGCGACGGATGGACCCTCCGGGCAGCGGACTTCTGGACGTATTCGAGTTTATTGAGGATTTTGTCATTTGAACCTTCAAGGATGCTGCTTCAGGAATCGAGAACTGTAACAAGATGCAACTACTGACAAATAATTCATTTTCCAAGCAGAGTAGCAAGCTGCTGCGTCTTAACTAGGTGTGAAACTGTAAATCAGAGTGTATTTGTAACGCAGTAAAACCTACAAGGAGAACATAACTTGCAAAGAATATAAAGTTGATTGACGGATTATCTCACTGCAGCAAGTTTCAAGAACCTAAAAGTCAATTTTCATATAAATGAAGTGAAAGCAGCGGCTGGGTGAGAATGACTGAAGTGACTGAAGGCTAAGAGAACGTCTGCAGATTCAATCCAACAGCTGATTTCTTTCTAACAGGACGTTTTCCTCTGGGACTGATAAGTACGGCGGCAGAGATCACCAACAGATTAACACTTCAGCTCAGCAGAGGTTATCACGTTATCACCTCAGGGGCCGTTTTGTTCCTCTCTCTGTGGCTTCAGTGGTGAGCTAAAAATAAAAACAAAGGTGTGTCTAGTGACAGGTTTCAGCTTTTGGCAGCTCAGGTTCCTGTAATAATGTCAGTGATCAGTCCTGCAACAGTCAAAACACATACGGTCCTGAATTCAGCCCAGCGGGTGGTTCATTCTCAAAGCACCTTTAGAAACCAGATTTTGGTTTGTTTGGTTTGGTTTGAGTCACGCAGTACTGTGTTGGTAAAATGTGTAGTTTTGTTTAAGGGTGGGAGAAAAAAGTCAATTCTTAAATGCATTAAGACGTGGACGATTCACAAATGTCAAAAATCTATTTTCTAAATGTTAAATGATCACATAATGTAGACGAAACGCAAAAACAGAGTACCCCCAGGACTTTTTAAGACCTTTTTAATGCCACCTAGGATGAAATTTAATGCCAACTTTACTGCCGTATAATGGAAAATCTGTATGAATTTTAAGCCAGAGGAAATTATTGTTTATGAAGTTACATGAATTTAATAAAACATAAACAACATGAATGGCAAATTTATTATAATACATTCATATTTAACACACTTCAGCTTTTTGGGGTGTGTTTGTACTCCGATAAGATAAAATGAATCAAGGACGTCACTTTGTGTTGAAAAGTGGTGGGACATAAGGGTTCAGATTAGAGATGATACACTTGGCTCACATGCACGATGCACAATATTGGGTTCACGAGAACAAGACAAGAAGATATTTTAACACTGTTTGATGAAATATTCAATGCTGATATAAATGGGGGGTCTGGGGGTCCCTAGAACATTTTGAGCATTAAACACTTAATTTCCTGCATTCTGGAAACATTTACAGAAAATTCAGGTGACATTCAAAAAGAATAAACTGCAGTAATCAACAGCTTGTTTTTTAGCTTAAGTTACTTTTTTTTGGAAAATGCACATTTGTTTCTTCTACATTTACTCGCCTTTTCTGATTGTGCAAATAAACCTTTCTCAAAGCATTTACTTGTTTGTTAACATTTCTTGTTGCAAGCCTTTTTTCAGAACATATTTAACAAATGCTTTAAAAAACATGATGGAGACATGTCCCCAGCGTCCCCACTGTAAATGACACCTATGAAATTAATACACTGCAAAAACTAAAATCTAAGTAAGATTAATTATCTTTATTGAAGGCAAAATATGGTTGTTTTTTGCCTGACAAGATATTTCTTCTTACCAGGCGGCTTTTATGTTAGAGAATTTCACTTGTTTCAAGTTTTTTTGTCCTTAAGTAGCAAGTGAAATATTCTTGTTCTGTTGGCAGAGACTTTTGCTTATTTTAAGTAATATTTCCCCCATTATATTGCTTTTTTTTTGTTGTTTTTGAGAGCTCAGTTTTTGCAGTGTACAATATTTGTCGCACTAAGAACTTTCAGTGTGAAACCATCCATCGTCAACCCTGCGTACAGGGAGGCTGGAGCCAATACCAGCTGACATCGGGTGAAAGGCGGGGTACACCCTGGACAGGTCGCCAGTCCATCGCCGGGCCACACATAGACAGACAACCAGTCACACTCACATCCACACCTAAGGACAATTTTGGAGACACCAATTAACCTAGTTTGCATGTCTTTGGATGGTGGGAGGACATGCAAACTCCACACAGAAAGGCCGGGGCAACCGGGGTTTGAACCCACGATCTTCTTGCTGTGAGGCGACAGTGCTAACCACTGCAACACCGCGCCTCCCGACCTAAATTTCAGGATCTTAAAAAATTTGTCAATAAAATATAAATATGCGTTGAATTGTAACACTGAATACAGCAGCAGCAGGATGCTCCGCCCTTCAGTGTTAAGTAAAAGCAGTGCTGAACACAACGAGAGATGAAAGCAGAGACGCAGTTTAAATCTCTGGTTCTACACTGACAGTGTTTAGCTGGAGTTCCCCTTTAAGCTCCTCCGAGGCTGTCTGTGTGTTAACGGAGGATGAATGGAGGGAGGGGACGACATGTACAGAACCTGATCTCACATTTCAAAGACACAAAAAACAACGAGGCACAAAGCAGCAAAGAAACTTCTGAAACACATGAAACACACCGGCCAGGCAGACCACTTACTGTGTGTATATATCTGTATCTAGGTTTTAATGTCAGCTAACCACAGGAGCAAACTCAGTTTACAAAAACATCCAGCAGTCCATTGAGTCGCTTTCACAAAGCGTTCAGACTTCACTATGACAGGCAACGAATCCCTAACTGTGCTGAAACCACAACGCCTCATTTTTACATTTCGATTTCTCCTCCGCTTCAGAAAATAACACGCAGACTTCACTTTTAATGGAGCTAGGCTAGCAGTTCCCCACATTGTCATTGTGCTAAGCTAGGCTAAACACAGAAACAAGTGTCTGTAATTTTTTTTCAAAACTTTTTTTATTGGTACATTTGGGTACTGTGGTGTTGGCCAATCATGTTTCATATTTTGAAAGCGATCGTCCGCCAAAAACTGATTGCCGTCAACAGGAGCTCGCGCAGCATGTTAAAGCTGTTTGCCCAGTCTCTTTACGTCTCCAGCTGCTTTTATCTGGATCAAGCAGACTGTAGCCTATAATTAACATGACTCCCTGCTGAGTTATATATAAAATAAAGACATGATCTCTTTTGCAATTATCCTTATGACTCTACATTATTTAACTTGCTGTGTACCATCCAATCCAGTCCTTTTTACCTGTTAAAACACCTTTAAATGGCCAAAACAACCCGTAAAATACAGTATTCTTATTTCTGATTATAAAACCAAAATCGTCTTTTTTATTTCATATATAATATTATATATTTTTAAGTTTTTCAACGAAATTAGTAATTAATAAATCTAATTTTCATTGCCTTATTGTCAATGGGATCAAAACTCACTCAGTAATGAAGCACACGCCTGTTTTCTGCGTTGCTCGCATCAACCACTATTCTGCTTTTAATGTGTGGCCTCCGGGTCGGATTCAGCCCTGTGCGCTCCCGAGCCTCTCAGACCACAGCGAAAACACGGCAGCTCACGACATGCAGTCCACTAACACCATAAAACATTGACTCCAACATAAGGATAAAAACAACAGTAAAGGTTTATGTCTGTCAGACCAAACGAGATTCAGATGATGTCGAGTAAAATCAGTCACAACAGGAAGTCACATTAGCTCGCCGGTGCTCTGTCGATTTATGCTACCTATTGAGATGTGCTGCTTAGCGGTTCTGCACATGCGCACACCGAGCAGTTGTTAATGTTATCTGGTGCAAAGTTATATCGCTTTCCACATTACTTCACCAGCCAACGCGACCCATGTTACTATCCTGTGTACTACTGTTGAGTTAGCCTGAAAGGATGTAACGGTAAAAAGCAAATGTGGAGCGATTTGTTTACTAACGTTAGCCTATAGCGATGCAGCCAGGAGCAGCCTGCTAACGCTACATCGCAGTAACTAACGTGACCCACACAACACAGAGGAAGAGCCATCCACTAACACTACAGTAACTACTTACTGCGGTCTAACTGTTATAAAGTGTGACACAGTCTCATTCTAATATTCAGTCCAGCTCACTACCCGTTTCGTTATCATCCAATACATTTAGCTGTGCTGACATTGCTGAGCCTCCGGTGACAGATTCACAGATAGTAAAGATAGTTACTGAAAAGCAGCAGGCGAGCTAACGATGTAACACGTCGGCTAAATGCAGTAAATGTACTGTGATCATGTAACGAGCACAGATTAGTTCAACCTGCAGCTGATAAAACTAATACTGTAACGTTGCAGCGGGAGTTTACCTGAGTTTCCAGTATATTGTGTGAAGCTGTCTCCCTGTCTGTCTATAGCCGCTGTCACTCTGCCTTTTTTCGGGAGGATTGTATCGGGCCGATATGCGGCTGGCTGCGCTGAATGAAAGGTACGGCGCTGTTGTTGATCTGCTTCTAAGCCGGGAACATTGAAATAACAGAGCCTGAACATGTCTGAGTGAAAATCCACAGCCTGCATGCAGGTGTTCCTGCATTTATTGTGGTATTTCTGTATGAAAGCGGTTGTGTTTCAGATTATGTTCGCTCATGAGTTCAAGCGAGCACGCGTACGAGCGCATGCCTGGTAGCAATCTTAGAACCGCACCGCTAGTGGCCGCTGGAAACTCCATAATGCCCCTTTAATGAAATACTGAAGACCATTTCATTTCAGAAATCAGGTCACCTCTGGTTTAGTGGAAACACTGCACATTTATGGCTTTGGCAAAGCTAGGCTAGCAATTCCCCCCTGCTTCCAGTCTTTGTGCTAAGCTAGGCTAACATGTCCCAAACCTACCTCTGTACTGGACACTTGAAACTGACTCTGGGGAAGACACAACACGACGTTCCTTTGATGCTAAAAACAAATCCAATTTATTGTCGGGACATTTAACCTCGTACACCTCCGTCCTCGTACCTGTACAGGGTCTCCAGCTCTGGCTTCGGACTCTGGCGGCGAGCAGCACCCATGTGAGCAGAAGGGAGCGACACGCCAACATCATGCCTGTGTACCGTCAATGACGTGGGTTTGATTCCACCTCACCGGTCTGCTTCTTGACCTGCGTCACTCAGCGTCATTTTCAGGCTGAAAGACGACCTGCACCAGGACGCGGCGTTTATTCAGATGTCTGTGATGAAAAAAAACAATGACAAGAACACACTGTTTCTTGTGTGTCATGACACCTTTCAAATTAAAATCACATTTTAACAGAAACACGTCAGTTCTTTTTAGTTGTCTTTTTAGTTGTTGGTCTCTAACCCAACCTTGAAATAATTCGAAATAACTAGTTTCCTCTTCACACAGAGAAAATCACCTTCAGAAGGACGGACAGTTCACCTTCACTCCTCTTGGTTGTTGCAGCTGCTACAACAATGACGACAGTAACATCCTGGTCCAGTTCCTGTTGCAGAGACAAAGGTCTTATGTTGGAGGATTTGGTCAAACAAGAAAAAGAAGGTATAAGCGTTGCAGCCCTCTCCAGTGTTTTCCTCTGTTCTGGGATTTTTCTGCCTTCCTATTTGGATTAACTGGATTTTGATTCTCGCCTGTTCCCATCTGGATTTGTTTGCCCATGTGGACTGCTCTTCTGGTTTGGACGTTTGCCTGCCTCACCTTACACCCCTTTGATTTCATTATTAATAAAACACTGTTAAGACTGAACCTTTCCGTCTGGAAGTCTGGGTCTGAGTCCTGTCCCTTATTATCCTGTCCCACGCTAGGACTGAGTGTGACATCCTGAATGCCCTGAGGTCCAGAGGCCATGGGGGTTTATAGGAACCTGTGTCCCATTTACTGCTGGATCTTTTCATACTTTAGTAAGTGCTAACTTTTAAAAGTGAGTTTGACATCCCGGCGTGTTATATGGTTCTCTGCAGACCCCTGAACGAGTTCTCCAGCCGGCTTTCTTCTGGTGTACTCTGACAAGATCATTATTGTAGGTGTCTCTGGCCACGCATATAACCGTGAGTGTAACAGTCTTACCGTCGCTATGCCGATGACACGCAGCTTTACGCTTTGGTTAAACCTGATGACCTCAGCTACCTCACCAGCCTTCGTCACTGCCTAGCTTCTGTTTCTAGCAGTCTCAAAAGCTCCTCCATTTCAATTCTGACCAAACTGAGGTCCGTTTGATCGCCCCCCAAAAGGTTTGGTCACTATACTGGCCCACTCGCCAGCAACATCAAGACCACCTCTTGGTATTCTTTTTGACCAACAATTGAACTTTGAACCCCACATCACTAAGCTCTTTCAGTCTGGTTTGAAATCTTTATCTTTGTGTTTATCAGCCAAAAACACACCGTAAATCTTCCCTCGTTTAGACTGCAGTTCCTGTTTACATCAGTCTTCAATTAGTAGAAAATGCAACAGCAATGCGACCTGTCCTCAGCAGAAAAATGATCATATCAGTAGATTGTGCGGCACAAAAATTTGATCAATATTTCTGTTTACTGTGGGAGTGAGCTCTAGTGGCTGTGCAACGCTAGCACATGAGAAGGATGGGTCACGTCTTAAAAATATCCATGAAGTCCAACTATGGAGGAGGAGGGTTGGGTGGATGGATAGAAATTTTGCGGGCTTTCAGCCAGGAGACCTGCATTTGCTTCCTGTGTAAAACAACACTGATTTATGTTTTTAGTTAAGTTATCTAGATTGATTTTAAAATCCCCCTAATCACCATCAAGGCCCTGCATGACCTGGGTCCCAGATTTATAGCAGAGATGTTGAGCTCTCAGCCACTGTGTTCATCTGATCAAGGCTTTATATCCATTCCTGGTTATATTTTAAATCTGTTTTTTTTTTCAGTTGTCCACCTAAACTCTGGATCAGCCTTCACCGCCCGGCTCGATCTGTGGTTTAAGAGGGTGCTGAAAAGTCATATCTACAGGATGGCCTTTTTCTAAACACTCTGTTTGCCTTTAGTTTGGTTTATTTTTATTCGTGTGTGTTAATCTTCTTTTCTCTGTGTTTTAAAACGTGCTATATAAATAAAAGTATAATCCTTATTACATGTGACCTGGCTGGATGAACGGGACTAAAACATTTATTCATTTAGCTGACGCTTTTATCCAAAGCGACTTACAGCTGCTGTACATGTCAGAGGTCGCACGCCTCTGGCAACAAGGGGTTAAGTGTCTTGCTCAGGGACACAGTGGGGAATTGAACCCTGGTCTTTTACACCAAAAGCATGCGTCCTATCCACTGCTCCATCACCACCCAACAAAGTTTGTTTCGCTATCATCACAGTTATTAATCTCACAGAGCCACAAATAGATACGTTACCTCAGCTCAATACATTCTGCAAACAGAAAACTTAAAAATAATTTGCGTCTTCCTTTCACTCGCTTCCAAAGCAAATGCACGCACCGGATCAAGACCATCACAACCTGAGGTTGTGGGAACACTACTGCTTTTTTCAACAGGGGCCGCCAGAACCAACACAAAGTGACTGCCGTATAAATAAATATAAGTATTAAAGGTAAATTAAACAAATTAAATGATGGTTTTCCTCTCAGGATGTGAACAACTCAACAACCCTCACCAAGCAAGAGGTGGAAATGACCTAAGTACATTTACTGAACTGAAATATTGTACTTATGTACAATTTGAGGTACTTTTACGTTACTTGAGTATTTTAATTTTGTGCTACTTATATGTACCCTGAGTTCTGGTTCTGCTCGAGGTTTCTGCCTCTTAAAAGGAAGTTTTTCTTTGCCTCTGTCGCCTCGTGCTGCTCTTGGTGGGAACTGTTGGGTTTCTATAAATCACATTAAACAGAGTCTGGTCTGGACCTGCTCTGCATGAAAAATTTAATTGAAATTACTTCTACTGAACTACATTTGTATTTTTTGCTGCACTAGATTTATCTGATAGCTGGAGTTACTTTTAAGTACTGAATGAAGGACTCTGAGTGGTCACAGAGTATTTTTACTCGAAGGAAAAGCTCTGAGTACTTCTTCTGCCACTTAAGGTCGGAGCGTGTTCGTGCTTTTCACACAACGACCAATAAAAACTAGATACAATCTAAAGACAGAAAACAGTGGAAGAATCAAAACATGGAGCAAATTCAACTTAAAATAATGTATTCTGATGAAAATGATTTAAAGGAAGATAGTGACTCCACATCTCATCTGGCCTTAAATCTGACTCAGGAACAGTCAGCAGCTTCTTGTCTGAAGACCTCAACCTGCTAAAGAGACATTTATAACTTCTGCATCTCTAAAACTTTAAACTGGTCCAATCTTTCTTTGATTTGACTGAAACCGGCAGCTGATCATTAAAACAGAGGAGACAAGAATCTCAGTTTGTTCACAATTTAAAATGTTGTGACTTCATGAAAGTAGAGAGACGAAAGGACACGAGGAGAGAGAGAGATGTGGAGTTATATGAACCCCACAGCCGGACTTGAAAGGGGGACGCTGTGGCTCATGGTGGGCACCATAAACCTCCAGCTCACCAGGGTTTCACCAAGTCCTGAATCAGAGGCTGTTTTGGCATGAAGCAAATGTACTCATTTAGTTTTGTGTTAAAAATGAAAAGATCGTACCTGGGTCAGAGGTCAGAGGTGATTCAAGCCGTTCTGATCCTGGATCAGTCTGTGATCTCCAAACGTTCAGGACGGTCCAGTGTCGGCAGTGTCGGCACGGAGACGTATCTGACGGAAGAGCTTCTTCAAGACATTTTCTTTCCTCTTTTACTGAAAGATGCCTCTGTGTCCGTCCCTGTGGACAAACTTTCTAAAGTCTTCCTGGACTCTTTGAGCCAGACCAGACGAAATGTTTCAGGTCGTCCGAACCTGGAAGGTTTCACAAACTCCTCAGTGAAGGTTTCCAGTTGTCCTTTTCTTGGACATTTATTTTGTCTCTCTCTAAAATGATCCAGTAAAAATCAAACCTCTTAAACTCCCTCGAACATTTCTTTTACTTTCCAGTCAGAGAAGTTGTCTCAACGATCTTTTCCTTCAGATGTTCGGGACATCCAATCATTTGTCCTTAAACACATCCAGACACCAGAAACCAGGTCGCGTCCACCTTATTTCACACCTGTAAGCTAAGTCTTTTTCTTTCTAAACTCTCAATCAAAGACCTTAAAAAGGTTTCCTCTCCCGTCCATCGTTCTTCAGGGCTGACGCAGTTGTCCACCTGTCGTCCACCTTTCTTCCTTCAAACATATTTTTTTCTTTTCCTCAAAATGTCCAGGACCAAAGAAGAAGAAATCCACAGGGGGTCCTTCTTTTGTCTGTTTTTAAAAAGCTCCAGCAGCTCTGAGGACTCGTCCTCTCTGCTGGTGACTTCAGAAACAGAGCTGCTGCCTGATGCTCAGGTAAGACCGACTGTGAGAGAGAGAGAGTTTACCTGCAGGTGAGCCGGGCTCGCCCGCCCGGCATTTAAATATAAAAGACTGGGAGGAGCTGGAGAGAGAGAGAGAGAGAGAGAGAGCTTTAACTTTGAGACACCTGAAGATGAAAAACATGTTTTTTATTTACATTTTCTGTACTTTTAACTCATTAATTGACTTTTCAGAATACAAATCATCCAACTACAGCCTCCAATACTCTGTATCAATAAATATAATTTAACATCTAACAGAGTTTAAAAGGACAAAGAGGAAACAGCAGCCATGTTAGCAGCTACATGCTGATGTCTGTCTTCAAAACCGTTATTTAAGTATTGTCATCTAAATATACTTGAAGTACTAAAAGTAAAAGTATTTATTGCTGAACAACATTGGATTCTAATTACTGATGCATTCATGTGTTCATTACTTTAACGTTGCAGCAGGTGGAGCTCATTGTAATCACTTCATATTCTGTCTGTGGAGTCGTCCAGCCAACACGACAGATTAAATATTTTATGAGGAACTTGACATTTGTTTGTCTACATGAATTATTTGTGTTGTTATGTTCAATCTATAACATTTTAACCCTTTCAGAACCTAAATGATGTGCAGGGTCAGTGTGTATACACGTCACACCTCCCACATTTACTTACTATTCCAGCAGCTGTTTGCGGTCGGCAGATTCAAAAACTGATCACAGAGCTGTGGACGGGTTCTGAGGATTTAAAGGGGCCATGTGGAGTTTTCAGCAGCCTCTATTATATATCATGTGGGTCTTGTTAGTTACAGCGACTGACACGGTGCAGAAGTTGTGCACCTGAGTATCGGTGAAACAACAAGAAATCTAAAGTGAACATTACAAAGCAAACAGCGGCAGGTCCGAGCTAACGTTAGCTAGCTGCCTTACATCACTACAGGCTAGTTGAAACTAATCAGCCTGGTGTCACCATATGGCCTGTTTCAGTCATTTGTCAGGGTATTCCAACGCATTTCTTTGCTGTTCACCTGCCATTTCACGCCAGTTTGTCTCTACTGATTTATATAGTGCAGAAACGGCGTGCCATTTTGCGGCAGCTGTCGCAGGGAAAAGATCCGGTGTAGGATATAATTAATCAGAAAAGTCGGAATAAGGAGACGGATGGGGGGGGGGGGCGATGAACCAGACTTTGACTCAGTAGACAAAAAAAGACAAGATAGTTACATAAGCTACGTTGTTACAGTAACCCAATCATGATGTCTGATGGATGTCGACCCGTAAACCTCCTTTGTGTCGCTCCAGTCTGCGGGTACTAAACAGCGTTAAATCACAAGTGAAAAGCTTAAAATGCATTGAAATGGCCACGCAAAATGTCCTTAAAAGTGCTTTTTTTTTTTACGCCATCCCACGACATCACGTTGAACCAGTCACTCCACGTCTGCTTTGAAGCGTTACATCCTTTCTTGCAGGCTAAAATCAACACTTTGACAGTTTTCATCCCAGGCGTCATGTTCCCACGCTTCACAAAACGCAGTTATTTCACGCAAAAGGTACCCTTTGACTTGTGAATGAGATGCCCTGGGGTGACCACAAACGCTAGTAGCGCTTCCGGTCGCTAAGTAGCTAGCTAGCTAGCAAAGTTTGGTTTTAAGGCGTTGACAGTCACCCGAAGCGCCTTACCCTAATCTTAACCATCACAGAAGTTTGTGCCTAAACCTAAGTCAGTAAATATATTCATGTTGAGCTGTGGGGACTACAGCGTTTCATACACACGGCGAATTGACGTTTCTCGTAAAATAACTATGCTTTCTCAAAGCGTGGATATGTGACGCCTGAGATGAGAACAGGTTGCAATACCGATGGTACACAGGTCAGTAATATGGATCGTTAGCTGGTGAAGTAATGTGGAAAACAATATAACTGTACCAATTTTTAGCAACTGCTTGTGTTAGCCGGCGAGCTAACGTTTTCCAACTTGAGCCAACTAAAGCACAAAATCACAATATGTTTCAGATGCTTTGCAGTAATTTTAGTTTACCGGTCCAACAGGATGAAAGACGACTCTGGGTCGGTTTGTTCCAAAACAAAGTGGAGTCTCTCTGTGAATCAAACGCATTTCTGATGTTGACTGTGTTTTAACCGACATCATCTGATTTTCGTTTGTCCTGACGAGCGCCAGCACATAAAACTTTGTCGTTGGTTTTTATCCTTACGTGGAGTTTGTGTTGAGCTGTGAGCCGGTCATTATATGGTGTTAGCAGACTCGTTAGCTGCAGCGGTTCAGAATCAGCAGGCGAGATTCTCGAGAGCCAAACGAAACGATTTCGCAGAAAATGCGAACAGATTTCTTCACATAGGACGCAGCACAGAGGCGGTCAGAGCGCTCTCAGAAAGCCAGCGAGTGGTTGCTTCTTATGTGAGTTACAACCCGTTCAGTTTCATCCTTTCAGAGAGATGATGAAACACTGCAGAGGCTGTTTAAAGACTCGCTGTTATTTTATTAGGATTTACTCTGATTTCTAATAATTTATCAGTGATTTATGAATTTAGACTCGCAGGTCTGAACATCTGTGAAAATTATTAAAATCTGGTGCATTTGGTGACAGTTTTAAGGAGCTTCATGTGTCTGAAGTCTGAACTGAGCGACATGAAACAGAAGAAGAAGAAGGAGGAAGATGAAAAGAGATGGGAGAGAGAGATAAAGAGAAGAAGAAGTGACTGATCTCTGGATCCCTGCCTCGCTCCCTCAGATGTGTTGATGATCAGTACAGAGGAATTCCCCAGGTGAACCAGAGCTCCGCCTCCTACCTGTTGGACCCGCCCTCCTCCTCACATGCTGACACACCTGAGACACACAGACTCTGAACAGGTGAGTCTATGGGCGTCACATCACAGAGCTCACCTGTAGTGATCAGCCTCAGTGACGCATCAACAAACTGATCTGCTACAAAAACAAACTCGAGATTACTTATAAATTAAATTAAACTAAAGTTCTTCTTCAACACTGAAGCTTTAACTTTCACTTTGGGTGCTGAGGACTCTGATTATTAAGGTTTTAATAAAAGATTAAATGTGATTTCACCCTCAGTAACAAACTCCTTGCTCGGGTTAAATGAGTCTTGAAATCTTTGCTGAGGGTTAGAAATCTCAGAGAGAAGGTGGCAGAGGGTTCATTCGTGTCTCTGCCTGCTGGACTGGGTCCAGGTTCAGATCTAAACCTGGATTATTCGGGCTTTAGCTGCTCTCTGCTGGATCCACACACTTCACATGAGAGCTGATCCTGCTTTTCATGTCTGAGTAAACATCGCAGCGCTGAACCCATCTGATGAGGCTTCAGTTTCTTTACATTTGTTTGTTTTTTAAAATCATTTCTTGTCTTTTAAAATGCTTCTTAAATTCACAGTTTTACAATGAAGGTTTCGTGCGTCTCATAATCCCTGTTTTATGACTTTGGTGAAGCAGATTTTAAACTTGATAATGAAAATAGAGCGACTGAATGTTGTTCACAGTGACGTGCGAGTGGAGGGCGTGGCAGGGATTTAGACAGAGGTATTGATTGCAGCAGTTTAAATGATCAGAGGATTTGTGACTCAAACTGAACCTGCCTTTGAACTCTGTTCCTCTACACTGATTCAAACTCCCAGCTTCCCCGGGAACGCCACAGCAGCAGCGTCGGTGCAGGAAGTGATGAAACTGGAGTTCATGTCCCGTCTCAGACCTGCAACTGATGTTCACCTTTTAATTATGCATTCTTATTATTCTGATTTATCCCCAGCTGTAACCATACTTCAACTTTGGTGTTGGACAGAAAGGCTGGATCAGTTAAAACCATAACGTCCGTTTGATCCAGTGAAGTTGCCGCAGCTGGATCCTCTCACAGGGTCAAAGTTTTTTTAGCACAGAGTTTAATTTAACCGTCCACTCAGAGCGGAGAGGCGGGGAGTCATTCGGAAGACAAGAGGACAACGTGCTGATACAGTTATACACTGAGGATGCCAGTGTAGACGTGACCATTTATGCCAACTAGCGTTTTTCTGTTCCACTGTGTTAAGTTTATTCTTCTTCTTCTTCTTCTTCTTCATTGGTGTAGGCTGCTACAAACAATAGGTGCTTTTGAGTTCATGCAGCGCTTCACAGCGCTGACTTTAGCTGATGCATAAGACATGCTGGTTAGACTTTTTGTCAGTCAAAGTCATCTTGAACTAATGGCTGCTGAATTGAGCTGATCGATGTTGAAACAGCAGTTACTTTTAGTGAAATTACTAAAACGCAGAAACAAGAGAAGGCGTCGGAGGAGATGGACTGGACGAGCCTTGAACCAGTTCAAGCAGAAGAAGATGGAGGAGCTGGAAAGGCATAGGAGGAAATGTGACGTAACTACATGTTGAGGTGACACGGACCATAAGCACTGTAATTGATTGGCTGGGTAGCCTCCGAGCCAACAGGAAGTGCCCCATGCTTTGAGGTAACTTTTACTAGCAGCTAAACCAGCTGCTGTAACACGGTGGATCAGTATATTTGACCGTCACAACCCAAGCGAAATGACTCGATTCAGAATGTGATCCAGGCTACACCAGCCGCACGTAGGCAATTTTCCCCCCATTCACGTTAGCTGAGCGCTAAACCGGAAGTTCGCCTGCTTGCCTGGAAAAAGTCAACACAATGGACGCTGTAGCGCTACCGCTGCACAAGTATAAATGCATTGCCCCAAAGCAGGAGTATAAATCAAGCTTTAGGGTTTGACTCGCTGCAAGTTAGATTTTCGGGGGAGGTGGATGTCCGGCTACGGCAGAAGAAGAAGTAAAAATCAGCCTTTTGTGTGCTGTTAGCAACTAAGCTAAAAAACTCGCTAGCTTGTTAGCTGGAAAATCTTTCACCCTCTTCAATATCTTTTTATTGAACAAAATGTCAGGTGGTGTGGTGGTGGGGATGTTATTGAGTGATATCATTAATATTAATCTTAATGATATTGTTTATATTACTTTTATTGTGTGCTGTCCAAATATTTGGACCAATCAGATTTTGGTGCTTTGGCAACTCATGAAACCTTCATACCAGTAAAGCCCTTTTAATTGCAGCAATTTGTGACTGGCTATCTTGTAAGCAGTTAGTTTAATTAACTAGCCTGGTGAGTAGCCAAGATGTCACTGAGACGCTGGAGCCAAATATTTCTCTTCTCAATATCAGATATTCTGGGTTTTGCAGAATCAGACTGTTAACTGGTAGAATTTTTATGCTGATGACAGCATTATTTATTGCAGTGCTGCTACTGTACATCAAGCTTTTGCTTTTTTACAATCAGCTTTGGCATTGTTCATGTACACCTGATCAGCTTAAAGGTGATTTTTAAATGTTGAGAAAACTTAGCTCATGCTTTTTCAAAATCAAAGTCGTCTTTGTACATTCTTCCACGCGTTTCTACTATAGATAGTGATCAGATAGAAAAATGTACAAATACTTGTATATTTTAACTGATGATCAGTTCTCTTTTAAATTGCACAGACAAATTTGGAAAACCAGGAAGCGATTGTTTGCTGCAACTCTTTCTCACTGTACTTGATTACGGTGACCTGATTTATATGAATGCTCCTGACCGATGTTTATCTTTGTTGGACACGGTCTACCATAGTGTGTTGAGATTTCTGATGTAAAGCTTTCTACACCGTTGTGTACAAAATAACAGACATTTGATTACTTTTATTTATAAGTCTGTCCTCGGTGTGTTCCCCTCTTATCATGTCACACAACACCAGTTCCTATAATCTGCACTCTGGTGACTGCAGACTGACTTGCGTCTGAAAAATCTTTTTTCCTTTGGGTAATTTAAACACTGGATGCAAGACATGGATCTAAAAGCTGTAAATTTTTGTCAATGCTTTTAGAAAACTGTGGGGCAGTAACTAATTCTTTTAAACCTACATACTGTACTTTAAGTGGTCTTAAAGTTGTACTGTTTGTGTAACTTCAGAGTCTTTGTTGGTTGTCCTTTGGTTGTTGCGGGTGTGTCTGGTGTTCTTATCTGTAACTCTGCTCTGTCATTATGCTGTTTTGTCCAGGTCTGTCTTGAAGAATAGGTTTTAAATCTCTGTGACATCATATGGTTAAAGAAAATGTAAAGAATTTGATATTCAACGTGGCGATAGGTCACGAGGCCTGATGATGGTCTTTACCTGCTCTGTTGGAGAGGGTGTTGGAGGCCCTCGGGGGTATAAAGTGTGCCACAGATCACCTGCTGAAAGAGACGTCACTGCTGATTTCTACATCGGAACACAAGGCTGTGTGTGGGTGAACAGAGGAATGTCAGCAGTGTTTGATGCTGAGACCTGATAAAGATCTCACTAAGTGTTTCTGAAGGAGAACCGTCCAAACAGACGCTTTCTGTTGCAGCCGACAGGTGAGCGATCTGTGATAAACCAAAACAAAAGCCTCGTACACACACGCGTGTAAACTGTGTATCCGGATTCTCCCGGCACAGCTGGAGCTACAGAATCCAGACTGATTCAAGGTGCCGACACTAAATGGGTGCTGCAGACTGAAACTGATTTACAGATCCTTTACTAATCCCACACTGTACCTGCATTGAAAATGCTCCTGCAGTAGGTTTGGAAGTACTCAGTAAGTATCAAAGCACTAAAATGTTTATAGGCTATAATGATTCTTTTTCCGCCTCATTAATGTAAAGCAGGATGTTGTTGCTGTAGTTGTTGAGCTCATTCTGAACTGTTTAGTTTCAGACTGCAGCTAATGATTCTTTTCATTCTGGATCAATCTGCTGATTATATCCTCCATCGATGCATCGATTGTTTGGTTTGTAAAGATTCTGAAAATCCAGACCTCACCATTATTAACAAGAAGTTATTTTTCAGCCATGTCTGTGGCAGGTGTTTGATACCTGCTGATAATGAAAACGCATTAATCTTTAACTGCGGCCGATGATGTCTCAGTACGCCCAGTAAACTAATCTATGAAGTTAGAATTAGCATTAGCTTAAGACCTGCTAAACCTGACCAAGCGGTTTTGGTGCGTAAACCCGACCGAGCGGTTTTGGTGCGTAAACCCGACCGAGCGGTTTTGGTGCGTAAACCCGACCGAGCGGTTTTGGTGCGTAAACCCGACCGAGCGGTTTTGGTGCGTAAACCCGGCCGAGCGGTTTTGGTGCGTAAACCTAACTACACTGCAACATTTTAACCACTAGTTCAATTTTTAAAGTCTAACCGAATGTTGCATATTTATTATCTTGACTGCAGAACCCTACACGTCCAAAAACAATGCTAAAGTGTACCCAGGGTGTTAAAAAGCGAGGCCAAAGGGTCTTACTAAGCGTCCATGTGTGACCTCTGGGATGAGAACAGGTTGGGAGTTCACGCAGATTAGATTCAGTTTTGGGATCTGGAAGTTATTTTCAATAATTTTCAACAGCCAGAATACTATTTGACATAGCTGCCTGCAACAGGAGTTAGCCTGCTAGCTAATGTTCACATAACTATCAGACTAGTACAGTCATAAAGCTGTCACTGTGGAGGGATCCTTTAAAAATGTAACCACACATCATTTATCTGTTTACAAAATGTACACACTCTCAGGTAATTCCACACTAATGGCCTGTCTGCGCTCCGACAGTAACTGATGGTGGTGTCTCTTTGATGGTGGGTGTTGTTGTCAGAGGCAGGTCGAGACAGGAAGCTGCAGTAATCACCTGACTCAGGTACGCCTCTCTAGAGTTCCTACTGTGAACTCACGTTTCAGTTCAGCGAGGTGGATCTAAACACTACAATACCCATGAGCCTCGGCTCCCTCCAACCCGTCTCACAGCTGATGAACGACACACACACACACACACACACACGTCTTGTTGTTCCTCCCTCAGTTTGTTTTAATGAAGTATTGATCAGGCTGATTAAAAGAAACTCTTCCAGCAGACCAACAACAACGTCCAGCTTCTTCTTTTAATTTAAAACTACAACAAAAAAGGTAAAATCAACCGGAGCTCGCCCTCTGATGGCGAACGCCGTCCTCAGGGTAGAAGAGATAAAGTGCAACAAGTCCAACGAGGAGTTCGTCCATGCCACAGAGAATAAACAGCGTCACACCGACAGCAGGAGGACAGTTTGTTCTATAAATGCAAACATTTTAACTCGTGTTTCAACTACACGTGTAAAGAAAGTCTCGTGCGCGGCGAGATTTTAACATGACCTTCTTTAACCTGACAGATTTTAGTATTTACAGTATTTACCTGCATTCTGCTGACGTGTTCAGAAACTCGTCTGTTTTATTTCCTCAATCTGTTCTTCAGTCTGTGAAATAAACAAGACCTTTATTGTGAAAGGCTCGACTGAACCTTACCTGCCCTTCCTGTAGCCACTGAAACACCTGCACGTCTTTAACATCATATTTCTTCTTTATCAGCTCAGGATGTTTCCGATTATGATCTGCTGCTGGTTTGATTTGTTATTGGTATATTTATTGATTACTGTATATTTCCTATTGATCGTCATCAGAGTGTGAGCTGTGTTTTAATGCAAACTAAACCTCCTTCAGGTTAATAATACTACTACTACTACTAATAAGATCAATAATAATAATAATGCTCTCGCTACTGCCGTCGGTGTGTAGCGATCCATACAGGTGATGATGTCACTGTGAGAATGATCACATGACACTTTTTTTCTTGTCGACTTTTAGTAAATCTGAAGTTCCTAAACATTTGGATAGTGGATCGATCCAACCCTCTGTGACATCTGATTGGCCATCCATCAGTTTATCGATCTGTCCATCTCGGGAGCACTCTGTGTGTGTATGTTTTATTGGTTTCCATGGTTACGAGGAAGACGATCAGATCTTAATTGATCGATGCTGCGAATCTGTTCTGGGTGAGAAGTAGCGGAGGAGGAGGAGGGAAGAGGGCGTGAACACACAAACACAGAGTGCTGGGCACCGTCGCAGGGTGATGACATCATCTCTAAAGGCCCAGCGACTTGCGTACGATCTTCTGGGCGAGTTTGTAGAACTGCTCTCTGTCCTCCCGCCACATTTTAGAGGCGTCGACGTTCGCTCCACTTTCATCGTTCGGCTCTGAGGGAAAACAAGGACAGAACAAGAGGAGACGAGGAAACACATTAGAAAGACGACCAACATGATTCTTATTTATTTTAGCTTTGGATGCAGCTTCACCTTTATATAAAACCTATTAATAAATGAGCCAAACTGGTATAAAGAAGCGTGTTAAAGCCTTAACGAAGCGCGTTGATGCCTGTAGGAAGCGCGTTGAAGCCTGAACGAAGCGCGTTGAAGCCTGTAGGAAGCGCGTTGAAGCCTGAAGGAAGCGCGTTGAAGCCTGTAGGAAGCGCGTTGAAGCCTGAACGAAGCGCGTTGAAGCCTGAACGAAGCGCGTTGAAGCCTGTAGGAAGCGCGTTGAAGCCTGTAGGAAGCGCGTTGAAGCCTGTAGGAAGCGCGTTGAAGCCTGAACGAAGCGCGTTGAAGCCTGAACGAAGCCTGTAGGAAGCGCGTTGAAGCCTGAACGAAGCGCGTTGAAGCCTGAACGAAGCGCGTTGAAGCCTGAACGAAGCCTGTAGGAAGCGTGCTGAAGGTGAATGAAGCCTGAAGAAGCGCGTTGAAGCCTGTAGGAAGCGCGCTGAAGGTGAATGAAGCCTGTAGGAAGCGCGTTGAAGCCTGTAGGAAGCGCGCTGAAGGTGAATGAAGCCTGTAGGAAGCGCGTTGAAGCCTGTAGGAAGCGCGTTGAAGCCTGTAGGAAGCGCGTTGAAGCCTGTAGGAAGCGCGTTGAAGCCTGTAGGAAGCGCGTTGAAGCCTGTAGGAAGCGCGTTGAAGCCTGTAGGAAGCGCGTTGAAGCCTGTAGGAAGCGCGTTGAAAGCGCGTTGAAGCCTGAACGAAGCGTGCTGAAGGTGAACGAAGCGCGTTGAAGCCTGTAGGAAGCGCGTTGAAGCCTGTAGGAAGCGCGTTGAAAGCGCGTTGAAGCCTGAACGAAGCGTGCTGAAGGTGAACGAAGCGTGTAGGAAGCGCGTTGAAGCCTGTAGGAAGCGCGTTGAAAGCGCGTTGAAGCCTGAACGAAGCGTGCTGAAGGTGAACGAAGCGTGCTGAAGGTGAATGAAGCCTGAACGAAGCGCGTTGAAGCCTGTAGGAAGCGCGTTGAAGCCTGTAGGAAGCGCGTTGAAGCCTGTAGGAAGCGCGTTGAAGCCTGAACGAAGCGTGCTGAAGGTGAACGAAGCGTGCTGAAGGTGAATGAAGCCTGAACGAAGCGCGTTGAAGCCTGTAGGAAGCGCGTTGAAAGCGCGTTGAAGCCTGAACGAAGCGTGCTGAAGGTGAACGAAGCGTGCTGAAGGTGAACGAAGCGTGCTGAAGGTGAATGAAGCCTGAACGAAGCGCGTTGAAGCCTGTAGGAAGCGCGTTGAAGCCTGAACGAAGCGCATTGAAGCCTGTAGGAAGCGTGTTGAAGGTGAATGAAGCGTACCTGCCAACATGCTGACCACAGACAGTAGGATCTTCTCCACACTCTGGACTGGACTCCACCTCTCTGCGCTGCTCTCATATCCCATCGGGTCGTCGCCTGGAGCGTGGAGGATGGAGATGCAGACCCGCCCATCGGGATAGACTGTGAAAGGGGGAGGCTTGTTAGTACTCAGTCAGTTCACGTTCAGCCACATCAGACAAAACCCACCTGAGGAGGTTCTGAACAGGTTCAATGGGACTTGGAAAACATTTTTCTGGGAGGCGAGGAGCTTCAGTGTTACTCAGGGTTGTCACAGGAGAACAAACGTGTGCGTGTTCTCAGGAAATCAGAGATTATCACACAATCTGGTTGAACCTGCCGTCAACCATCTGATGCCGTTATCAGGCGTGATAAGTGTTTCCTGTTGGCTTCCTGTCATGGAGGTGCTTCCTGCCCTCTGACAGCTGCAGGTTTTAAAACTCAATGTTCATTGATTAGTTGGAATCTATAATGGCAAAATTCCCAACCTGGCTTTCACCATCTGGCCATCTAATCATCCCCCATAGTAACTGGCTCAATGCTTCCCTCCCTCTCTGTCTCAAGCTGATGTCTGGTGAGCGTTCTGGCGCGAAATGGCTGCCGTGCATCACCCAGGTGGGTGATGCACACCCACATCAGTTCTGTTCGCTGCTTCTGTTGAGTGTCGACTACAGACAGAACATAACACAAACCGAACATCAGAAAGAATTAACTGCAGGGCTGCTGGGTAACGCTGGCGTCACCTGTACGTGATTTCACAACTCAACTTGAAACTCACATCATCATCATTATTGGTTTTCCAGCAGTTTTCTCTGGCCTTAATACTGAAACTCGTTTTCCCTCTGACAGAAATACAGTCACTGGAAAATGAACACAGGATTTTGGATTAAAGAGCAGCAGACCTTGAGACAGATCGACCGGATCTCGCACCACAGCGGGTGCTGTAATAGGAGCCATGTTGGCCCAGCTTGGATTTGATCCTAAAGGTCCAGTCTGGACTAAATGGGACCCGTGTTGTGCCCAGATCTTTACAGAGAGCTGGATCAAGCACTTGGCAGGTGGTCCGTGTTCCGAGCTGACAGAGCAAGACTCCTGCGAGCTGAGAGGAGGTGGACTCTTTAACGTGAAGATGAAACCAGATTATCATCTTGTTGCTCCCAGACGCAGATTCAAAAAATGCTCTGCAGATATATAGATTTACTTCATGTTACCATATGTTAATACACATTTAATTATCTCTGAAGTTCTGAAGGGACTACAAACTTTTTTTAAAAACATCAAACTTGTGCTGCGGTGACGTGAACAGAACCTTCAGTAACTGTGTGTTTTCTTCTTCACATGTTTCATCTTTATCTGCTGCTGTTTGTTGATGCAGGATCAGACGATACAGTTACAGGTCAGCTCAGGGCCATGCTGGCGTGTGATGATGATGATGATGGTCCCCATCCTCTAATCAGCACGGAGCGTGCTCAGACCGTCTCCCTGCTGTGACATCGTCGCTCAGGCTGCAGTCCACTAATCACGGCGCTAATGACAGCATGCTAACGGTGAGCTAACAGCAGCGGCAGGTTCTGACAGGTTTAAAATGACGGGTTTGAAGTCAAACAAGGCGTCGACGGGTTTCATCACCTGACTGGTTTACTCGGTCACATGACGTCGGTCTGCACTTACTGTTGGGATGAAACATGTCGCAGGTGAACCTCATCTTGGGAGGACTGAGAGGATAATCGGAGGGGAAACTGAGGACGGCTGGAAACACTCCGCCTTCAAAGCAGGTATCCTGAGGACCCCTGAAACATACAGACAAAGAGAGCTGGTTAAAAGCTGGTATTCTAGAGGTTCTGTTGGTTCTGTAGGAGGTTCAGAGACCTGAGGGATTTTTTTAGGGGTTCTCAGAATCTGCTTTATTGCCCAGTATGTTAAACAAGTGAAGATGAAGATCGAGCAGGTCAAGAATCATAAATATAAAACATAAGTTATGAAAAGATATTTAAAAATATAAAATAAGAATAATAAAGAATATTCACATGTGCGGTATGAGTATAATGTACAGCGGGGTTCAGAGTCAGTCGGGGCCCTGGGCCTGTTGATGAGTCTGTTCTTGTGGCGTGAGGTTTTGGTCCCGATCATAGCCGGTGACAAATAAGCGGAGGCAGCCGCCGTGACGTCCCCCGTTGGTTTGTGTCAAGCGGGAAGCTTCCGGTCAGCGATCTGATGCTA